CTGCCCCCGCCAGCCCCAGCTATGTCCTGGGCACCAGGTGCATCTGCAGACCAGGTACATCTGCTGTTTATCTTGGTCCTCTGGGTTCTGCCGGATGGGAGATGAAGTTGGTGGCCCCAGGTGGGGGGGGGGAATCCCCGACCCCCTGCAGAGAAGGACCCATCACCTCCTTCCCTCCTCGTGGCGTTGTCCCCACCCCCAGGTCTGTGGCTGGACTGAGAGCCACTCGGTGCCGTTTCTGCCTCATCCGCCTGGGTTGGGGTGGGGGACGCGAGTGCTGTGTCCCCGGCGGAGTAGCAGAAGCCCCAGCACCCACAGACAGGGCCACAAGAAGCACTTCCGAGAAGGCGACACGGGGGTCAGGGATGACCCTGAGCGCTTTTCTCGGCGCTAACACGGGCGCTAATCCGTGTTTCCTGGGCGGAATTGGATTAGAAGAATGTAGGGCAGGATTGGCGGCTCAGACGCCGTCGCGGCCCTGGCGCCTGAGACCTGCGTCCAGTCGGTCCTCTTGGCACTTGTTCCATTTTTTCCCCATCACCCCTCCCCGGAATTCTAAGTCAGTGCACTCAGGTGGGCGGCATAGTCTGGGGTTTTGGGGAAAGGAGGGTATATCCAGCAGAATTTGGGGGACCATCAGGTGCCAGGGATCTAACCCAAGGCCCCACACACAAAGGTTGTGCATCAGCCCTTGGAGTCAACTCCCTGTATGTATGTCTTTATGTATTTATTTATTTGTAAATAAATAAATATCTTGGTTTCCTGGGCCACACTGAGCAGCTCTCAGGAGACTGTGGGGTGCCAGAGATCAGACCCAGACCTCTGTCCTACAAAACCTACGGTCTGACCACTGAGCAATCTTTCTGGCCCTCCCTGGCCTTCGAGTCGGAAGATTTAAATTCATCGCGTATGGTGGAGCAGAGATAAAAGGATGAGTGTTCAGTAATATCTCAAGTTCAGAGGAAGACAGTGAAATCTACCCTTTTCTGCTCCCACATCAGCAGAGACTAAAATAAGCCTCCGGGTTATGCAAATGTGGCGAGCCGTATAGCGCGCTAGTGGGAGTGGGTATGAATCATGCTTCTGAAAAAATAATTCAGGATTTATCTGGAGCCCAGGACGCTCCTAGGTGTCACGTGTCACGCGTCTCCCTGCCCAGACAGGTCTCCAGACGGAATCGTGTGTGCAAAGAGAGCCCCACCCCTGGGGCTACAGTCTCTAAAAAAACACTTTCCCCTTCCATTAAATAACAGGCTTGTGCCGAAAGCCTGGGGCCTCGGGGAGGCATAGCGGGAGATTAATCATCCCTGGACGGCTGAGAAGTGTAACCTTTGCTGCGTTCTCAACGCATCGGGGCCTTTTTGTGTAACGCAGGCGAGACGTGTGCTCGGGTCCCACTCCCCCCATCCCACCCATGGGGGTGGGTCATCCTGTGGGTCCATGGAAACTCTTGTCAAGAGTGACCATGGCTGGGGGTTCCCCTCTTTGCTTCCTGTACTGCCAGAACTGGGGTTTCCCCATTTTCATCTCCTATCTCTTTTTCTTTCTTTCTTTCTTTCTTTCTTTCTTCTTTTTTTTTTTTTTTTTGGATGGCTACACCCAGCAGTGCTCAGGGGTCATTCCTGGCTCTGCACTCGGGAATCACTCCTGGCAGTGCTCAGGGGACCCTGTGAGATGCTGGAGATCAAACCAGGGTCAGCCGTGTGCAAGGCGCACACAGTGTCCTATGGCCCCGAGGGTTTTGTTGTTTTTGTTTTGGGGCCACACCCAGTGTTGCTCAGGGCTCGCTCCTGGCTCTGCACTCTGAAATTGCTCCTGGCAGTGCTCGGGGACCAAATGGGATGCCGGGGATGGAACCTGGTTAAGCGGCGGCAAAGACAAGCACCTTAGCCACCAGGCCACATCTTCAGCCCTCTCTACCTCTGCTGGACATCAGATTCCAAGGCATTAGCTGCTGCGGCTGGAGCCATAGTACAGCAGGGAGGGCACTTGCCTTGCACACGGGGATTTAATCCCCAGCATCCCCACGCTCCCCCGAAACCTGCCAGAGTGAACCCTGAGTGCTGAGCCCGGAGTCAGCCCCGAGCACTGCTGGGTGTGGCCCCCAGACAAAACCAGCAGAATAAAATGTCAGCTCCAGAGCAGAGTTCCCTGTCACTTCCTGTCCGACCTCCGGCCCCGCATCACCCGATCAGAAGCTGGGGTTCCGAGGTCACCTCGGCTCACACGCAGTCTCGGCTTGCACCCCAGACCTCTCCTGTGCACGTCCCAGCGTCATCTCCAAACGCAGCCATTCTCTACACACACACACACACACACACACACACACACCAGGTGATTGTGATTCTGCCTGCTGACCAGACATGGCCATTCTCTACACACACACACACACACACACACACACACACGTGATTGTGATTCTGCCTGCTGACCAGAACTGGATCCCTCAGGGCTGGGGGATGTGACAGCCCAGCGTGGGCTCAGGCCGCTGCCCTTCCGAGGGGCTCCCAGGCTCCCTCTCTAGGCCCCCTCACCAGGGCCCTTGGTGCCATTCGGCCTCCAGGTGTGACGGCCACGGCTGTCCCCACGCAGCATCCCAGGAGTGCCCTGCCCACAGGGCCCCTCCTGGAGGTCGTTGCTTCCTCTGACTTTTTCTGCAGCTCTTCAGCCTCCTGGGGGGTCCCTGGCCCCCAGCTCAGGCCAGGCGGCCGCATCTCTGTGACCGTACGGAGAGAGTGAGGTGAGGAGGGTGGACAGAAGCTCTGCCTCACGGGCGTTTCCAATGGGCCCTGATGTCCACTGCGCGCACATAACCCAGTGGACCAGACGCTTCCTGGGTTTGTCCCAGATCAGACAGCCTGATGCTGGCGCATGCATAAGAGGGTCTGCAGCCGCCCCCACCCAGAGCCTCCGGGGGCGTAGACAGTTGCCCAAGCAGAAAGAGTGTTGTGTCCTCTCCAGAATGTTCCATGGCGGAAAGCATAATCGCGTCTCCCGGAAATGCTGTTGATGTCAGTGTATTAAGGGCAGGTTGTTATTTGAAATGAATTCATTCAGTTTCAACTTTGTCTGCTCACTTCCCAGGTTGGCACCTGTTCACAGTTACCTGCATTCACACTCTTTGGAACCCTCCATTGAAAAAATACACCCCCCCCCAATTTGCTGTTGACATTTTGAGGGGCCCCCTTCAAGGCCCAGAGGATGCGTCTTTTTTTTTTCTTTTCTTTTTTTGGGTCACACCCAGTGGTGCTCAGGGCTTACTCCTGGCTCTGCACTCAGGAATTACTCCTGGCGGTGCTGGGGGGACCCTATGGGATTCCGGGGATCAAACCCGGGTTGGCTGCATGCAAGGCAAATGCCCTACCCGCAAATGCCCTACCCGCTGTACTATCACTCCGGCCCACCATTCACCTTTTTTTTTTTTTTTTTTTGCTTTTTGGGTCACACCCGGCGATGCTCAGGGGTTACTCCTGGCTCATGCACTCAGGAATCGCTCCTGGCGGTGCTCGGGGGACCATATGGGATGCTGGGAATCGAACCCCCCCCCCCCCCCCCCCCCCCCCCCCCCCCCCCCCGGTCGGCTGCGTGCAAGGCAAACACCGTACCTGTTGTCCTATTGTTCCAACCCCAGAGGGTACTTCTTTTGTTTGGTTTTGGTGGGCCACACCCGGCGGTGCTCAGGACTAAGTCCTGGCTCTGCACTCTGGGATCACTTCTGGCAGTGCCGGGTTGTGTGTGTGTAGGGGGGAATAGCAGTACCATATGGGATGCCAGGGATCGAACCTGGGTTCACCACATGCAACGCAAGCGCCTCACCCGCCAGACTGTCGCTCTAGGCCCTCGGGCTGCTTCTGGTACACTCCCTGGGGTCCCGTGCTCACTCGCTCTCTGAAAACCAGTTTCTCTTCCTCGTCTTTCCTTCCCATTGTCGCTGCTTTGTGGTTGCGGTTCCCTTTGTGGATCTGCTCTGCTGCTCACACAGCACTTGTGTGCGGCCTGGGGCCTGCGCCCGTCTCTACACGCAGGTGGGGTTGCTGTCACACCCCACACCTGCTCCCTGGGGCTGCCTTCCTGGCCACTAGCCTCACCCTTGGAGGGGGACCTGGAGTCACAGCCTTTGGGCTCCTCCTGGCTCTGCTCGTTGACCGTATGGGATGCCGGGGGCCACACTGGGGTTGGCCGGGCGTGAAGCCGGGCGCCCTTCCTGCCTACCTGCTGTACTGTCACTCCAGCTCATGTATGTCTCTTATTTATTGATTTGGTTTTGGAGTCACATGGGCTGTGCTCATGGTGTACTCCTGGCTCTGTGCTCAGGGCTCGCTCCTGGCGGGACTCAGTGATCGGATGCAGTGGTGGGTACCAGGCAAGCACTCTGCCCACCGTCCTGTGGCTCCAGCTCCTGTCCATCATTTTGTTTTGAAGTTGCGACCCTTGGCTGCGCAAGTCTCACAGTTGTCGTTGTGGGACCCTCCCGAGCCTGGCCAGGCCCAGGAGATCGCGCAGTCTGGCGGTTCCTGGAGTCCAGACACCAGTCCGGCACCTGTGTTCTTGCAGAGTAGCCAGTGTGAGCCTCTGAGCCAGCCCCTGGGGCCCTGAACACACCCCTTTTTCTGGGGGGTGGGGGGAAGGGACCACACCCAGCAGCCCTCAGGGCTTACCTCTGGTGGTACTGGGGATCGAACCCGGGTCGGCTCTGTGCAAGGCAGCGCCCTACCCTGAAATGACTTTATTTTATTTTATTTATTTTTTTGCTTTTTGGGTCACACCTGGCAATGCACAGGGATTACTCCTGGCTCTGCACTCAGGAATTACCCCTGACCATGCTCAAGGGACCATATGGGATGCTGGGAATTGAACCCGGGTCGGCCGCTTGCAAGGCAAACGCCCTACCCGCTGTACTATCGCTCCAGCCCCTGAAATGACTTTAAATTCTATTTTTCTCTCTCCCTCCTTCCTCCTCTTCCCCCACCCCCTCCCACCCTTCCCTTCCCTCTTTGTAGAGATCATGCACGATGTGATAAAGAAGGTGAAGAAGAAGGGAGAGTGGAAGGTGAGCTCCCGTGGGGGGACTCCAGCAGGGGCAGAGGGCAGGGGCGTAGGGGTGTGGGCGGGCCGTGCCTGGGAACCCCAAAAGGTGGTCCGCTCCGCCGCTCACTAAGTACGATCCTGGGTCCAAAAGTCTTGGTGCTGGGCAAGACAGACAGGACCGGGCTCTTAAGGCACTCACCTTGCAGGCAGCCAGTCCCGGCTCTGTTCCCTGAGCCCTGCTGGTAGCAGGTGCGGTTTTATTTAAAGACATCGACTTAGGGGAGTGTGAGGAGAGAGAAGGAGAGAATATAGTGTTCGAGAGAACACGGGTTTCTCCAGAGTGGAAAAGCCTTTGCCTACTTTTAATTATTGTTGTTGTTGTTGTTATGGTTTTGGGCCATACTGGTGATGCCCAGGGGTTACTCCTGGCTCTGCACTCAGGAATCACTCCTGGCGATGCTCAGGGAACCATCTGGGATGCCGGGGATCAAACCCAGCGGGCCGCATGCAAGGCCAACACGCTCCTGTACGTTTGCATTTCTGACAACCGGGGAATTGCTTTATCCTGGAACGTGAAACCTGTATTTGTTCACGCTTAGAAGATCAAGTCAGCGAGAGCCAAGCCTGACCTCTTAGAAGGCAGGGTTTGGCCAAGGCAGTGGGGCGGGAAGGAACACAGGGAGCTTGGTGCCCACCCCCCGGCCTCTGCAGCCCACAAGCTGTGCCCTCTGCTTCCAGGTCCTGGTGGTGGACCAGCTGAGCATGAGGATGCTCTCGTCCTGCTGCAAGATGACGGACATCATGACGGAGGGGATCACAAGTGAGTGTGGCCTCCTCTTTGCCCTTGGGCTTTCTGCTCCCCGCCTGGCTCAGCTTCAGGGTCTCCCAGCATGCGGGGTGGTCGGGGCTGGAACTTCCCCAGAGAGCCCCAGGGCTTCTCATCCATCCCTGGCTGGGACCCTGCACCCGAGCCAGCACTCAGTGCCGCTCTTGAATCTGTTAAAAGATACAGAACCTGTGGTACGTCTACACAACGGAATACTACGCAGTCGTTAAGAAAAAAAGAAGTCACGACATTTGCTTCAACGTGAATGGACATGCAGAGCATCATGCTGAGGGAAATGAGTCAGAGAGAGAGGGCCAGACATAAAATGATCACACTTGTTTGCCAGATATTGAAAAAAAAAAAGTTTGAGAATACTACCCAAAGGCAGTAGAAACGAGGGCCAGGAAGACTGTCCAGGGTAGGGAGCTTGCCACAGGGAAGGGGCGGGGGGACCACTAAGTTAATGGTAATTTGAAATTGTCACTCTGGACAGGAGCTGAGTGCTGAAAGGAGACAAAGGGATGTGCGTGATAACCGCTCAGGAACAGATTGCAAACCATAGTGCCTTAAAGGATAGAGGGAATGGGAGAGAGAAAGAGAGACAGGCTGCTGGGGGGGAGGGCGTGGAGGGAAACTGAGGACATTGGTGGCGGGAGACATGCCCTGGTGAAGGGACGGGCATTGCAGTGTTGTATGACCGAAATCCAGCCGTGAACAACTTTGTCACTGTGTATCTCATGGTGATTCCATTTTAAAAAAACAAAAAAGAAAACCCGTCAAAAGATGCCCAAAGGAGAGTTTAAATTTAAAAAAAAGAAAGAAAAGAAAAGCCTTCTCAGTAGAAAGAAGACTACTTTCAAACAGACTCAGCCAAGGGAGAAATCATCCGAATGCCAGTGAACCCAAGAATCCCTGGTGGTCAGGGAGATGCACCTGAACGCAGAGTGTGGCTCAGAAACAAGACAGACAAGGCAGAGTGAGATGCCGCTGTCCCTTCCCTGGGTTGGATTATTTTGGGGGGAGAGGGGCCACAGCCAGCAATGCTCAGGGCTTATTCCTGGCTCTGTGCTCAGGGATTGCTCGTGGTAGGCTTGGGGGGAACATACGGGGTGCCGGGGAGCAAACCCAGTCAGTACCAACCGGCTAACTTTGAACTTGGGCCAACTTTGCCAACGGCTGACTGGGTTTGATCCTGGCACCACATCAAGTCACTTGAGCCTGCCAGGAGTGATCCCTGAGCTCACAGCCAGTAGTAAGTCCTGAGCACTGTCGGATGTGGTCCAGAAACCAAAAGCAAGAAAAAAAAAAAACCTGAAAACAAGATCTTCAAACCCTGTATGTGTTCGAAGGATTTGGGTGTGAGTCTGAACATCATCTAGTGAAATGTCTTTACACTGCTCTGGGGCCTCACACTGAGAGATGCCCTGTTTGCTCTGTTCGCTGCCCTGAGAGGGGCACCCGGGTCTCCCTTCCCCCTCCAGGAGTCGCTGGTGCAGCTCCAGCTCTGTCAGGTGACTGTAAGCTAAGAACTATCCCCAGGTTGCTCTTGGCAGGGGCAGGAGCAGACCCGGCTGTCAACCAGAGGTCCAGGACTCTCTTGAACAGAATACGCTGTTTCAGCCCTGGACTGTGTAGGGGACAGGAATGGAGAGGGGAGCCCTGTCATAGCTGTTGGACACACGGGGGCAAGGCAAACACGACCCAGTTGCGAACCAGGAAACTCAACCTAGAGATGCTCAGAACAGCGGAGAAAAAGGCTGTTCTTTCTCGGCAGAGTGAGAGCCGTTTTCTGTCCAGGCTTCCCAGCATCTCAGGTGTGAGGTCAGGCCAGATGGGGACCCTCCGACCTGGCCTCTGTGGGTGCGTGTGCACTCAGGTGCCCGCACGGGGGTGGCTTCCAACTCGGTGACCCCCATCCCGTTCCCTGACCCCCCTCTGCTGCTGTCCCCGCCCCCAATCCAGTTGTGGAAGACATCAACAAGCGCAGGGAGCCGCTGCCCAGCCTGGAGGCCGTGTACCTCATCACGCCGTCCGAGAAGGTGAGTCCCACCCTGGGGTTGGGGGACCCACCTGAGCTGGCGAGGGCCCCGAAAGAACTCAGGCGCTGGCACTTTCTCCTGCCTGATGTCACCAAGAGGCAGCAGTTGTGTCCACGGGACCTGACTTAGGCTTCGGGGTGACTCACGCCAGAATCCAGACTGGGCATGTGCTGGTGCTGGGGCCCGAGGGTGGTCACTGTCTCCGTCTCCATCCTCAGTAGCTCTCTCCACGCCACCAGCTGTCAACTTGAGCGTTTCGGCAGATGTCCCTTGCATTGCCACAACTTCAGTTGGCATCTTCCAGAAGGTTCTTGGCCTTCCTGGAGACAGGCTGGCCCTCTTCTTGGGAACCCCAGCCATTGTGGGCTCGGAAGAACGGTGCCCTCCTGGAATGAACCCAGAAAACGTTTCTTTATCTAAGTTCCTCGGGGTGGGGTGGGAAAAGTCCCTCAAACCTAGCCATCGCCAGACCTAAGTTAGGGTTAATCATATATCGACAGCCCCAGCTGTGGCTGCAGAGAGGCCGGGGCCGGGGGTTGGGGTGGGGCGCTGGCCTCAATTGGGGGCTCCCACTGCTCTGGTGGGACTCCCTGCTGAAGTGAGACACAGCTGGCCGGGACTTGACTCGGCTCAGACCTGGGCCCCTTCCGACTTCATATTCAGACTCAGTTTCTGCTCTTCCCACTCCACGCAGTCTGTCCACTCGCTCATCAGCGACTTCAAGGACCCGCCGACTGCCAAGTACCGGGCGGCACACGTGTTCTTCACTGACTGTGAGTAGGCCACGGCCACAGCCAGGCGCCACAGGCTTGTCCACTGCCAGCTGCAGCCAGCCAGCCAGCCAGCCAGCCAGCCAGGGGTTATATATCGTAAGCCCCAGCCAGCCGGCCATGGGCTTGTATACTGTGGGCCACAGCCAGCTGGCCACGGGTCTGTCCGCTGTAGACTTTAGCCAGCCATAGGTTTGTCCACTGCAGACCCCAGCCAACCAGCCACCGGCTTGGCACCGCAGGCCACAGCCAGCCGGCCACAGGCTTGCTTACACTTTCATCCTCCCTCCAGAAGAGGATTCACACGAGAAACACAAACACAGTTACAGGCTCTGCTCCCTCATGAAAAGTGACGCCTCTCAGGATTAGCGATTGCACCCCCGGAGCTGTCCTCTGCACCCCAGCTTCTCTGTAGGGGCTTCCAGATGGACCCAGCGATGCTCCACTGGCCGGTGTCCATGTCAGGGGACCCTGATCCTCTGCCCGGCGTTAGGCCTCTTAACATGGCGAGGGTTTATAATCAGGCCCAGGGCGGGGGCGACTGTCACCCTGTAACCCTGGAGACAGCCCTCACCTGTGAGCCAGAGCGTGCCAGGAGCTGCGCTCCTGGACTCGTGGGGGCCTCTCCAGCCCTCAGCGCTGAGCTAGGGGCCGAGGAAGCAGTGGCACTGTCCCAGCTGGGCTGACAGTGCTGGGCTGACGGCGTCAGCAGCATAACCCAGCAGCATGCGCCGGGAGCCTGCAGCCTTTCATCCAGCTCAGGAGACTCGCTTGAAACCGTAGTTCCCCACAAGTGTGTCCTGTGCTCCTCTGAGCTCCTTGAATTCTCAGGGAAGTGCCTTGAGCACCCCCACCACCCCCACCTCCACAATCCTCCACTCCATGTTCTGCATTAGGCCTCCTGAATAGTCTGATATGCCCTGCTGTAGGCTCGGTGCCCAGGGCCACTCCCTGGGGTGCTGGGATTTGAACCCGGGCCTCCATGTCCACACATGCACTCCAGCCCGTGACGAGTGCCGCCTGGCCTCATCTGCCTTCTCGGCCTCTCCTGCTTTCCTTCCTCAGTACCAGAAAAAGGGTCTTATTAGTTTTCTCCTTCCCATCTTCTGGGGACTGGAGCAAAGGTACAGCGGGGAGGCGCTTGCCTTGCCTACAACTAACCCGGGTTCCATCCCCGGCATTCCATGTGCCGCGCCCCGGCAGTCCCCCCAGGAGTGATCCCTGAGTGCAAGGCCAGGAGTAAGCCCCAAACACCGCCTGATGTGGCCCAAAACAAAAAAACCCTCTCCATTTTTTTTTTGTCTTTTTGGGTCACACCTGGCGATGCACAGGGGTTACTCCTGGCTCTGCGCTCAGGAATTACTCCTAGTGGTGCTCGGGGGACCATGTGAGATGCTGGGAATCGAACCCGGGTCGGCCGCGTGCAAGGCAAATGCCGTGCTATCACTCCGGCCCCCTCTCCATCTTCATTGCCAATATATCGAGGGCCTGGTAGATTGTTTTCCATTCCTTGTATTTATCGCCCTTAATTCAGTTTCGGTGCTGGGGGTTGAACCCAGGCTGCATGCGTGCAAAGCTCCCCCCAGAGCCACATCCGCAGCCCGTCTGTCCCTCGTCTGCCCTAGATTTTGTGGCTGACTGAGGCTCAGTTTCCTCCGTAAAAACTCCAGGCAAAGACCCCCGCCCCACCCCGACTTGGGCTGCAGTTGCGCGAGCCTGCAGAAGGGCGGGAGAGCCTGTTGCTGACTGTCACCGTGTCCTCCTTGCAGCCTGTCCAGATGCCCTGTTCAATGAGCTGGTCAAATCTCGAGCAGCCAAAGTCATCAAAACGCTGACGGAAATCAACATCGCGTTCCTCCCCTACGAGTCCCAGGTGAGGCCCCCCGGGTCGCTCATTCTCTCAGGCGTCCTGGCACTTGTGGAAGGACGCCCATGAGCGAGGTGTGTGACGGAAGCAGTGTCCCCTGCGTCCCCTCCGGAAGCCCTCACCCTGCTCTCAGTTACCAACCGCTCCCTGCCCTGCACTGGTTTCTGCGAGCGTCCGCCCCCATTGGCTGAGGCCTTAAATAGCCCACGAGTAGCCGGAGGGATGGGGGGGGGCCGCGTCTCCATCTGCTTCCAGGGAGCCTGGTTTTTTTTTTTTTTTTTTTAACGTAGAGATAACCTCAGCTGGTCAGGAACAGATGGCCACCCCCGTCATCAGCCCTTAACACTTCCCATGCCAAAGGCTGGTAGCAAAACCTCTCTCTCTCCTCTCGGGAAAAGGCCAAGGTACCAGTCCAGAGCAGGTGAATCAGACGGAGAGAGAACATGCAATATTTATAGCTTTTTGGTTTTGTTTGGGGGTCACCCCTGGCGGTGCCCGGGGCTGACTCCTGGTTCCGCGTTCAGGGATCGCTTCTGGTGGGGCTTGGGGGACCCTCTGTGGTGTTGGAGACAGAACCTGGCAGAGAAAGGGCGACTGTGGTTTATTGGATCTTCCTTGAGCACCTCCTAGAACGGCATTTCCCTCGGGTCAGGGGACCTGGACAGATCCTGGGTCAGAAGTAGCCTCGGGGGCAGTTGGGGCTCCTCTTGTTTGTTCACTTCAAGAAGGTTGATTTGATTTGTTTTGTTTTCTGGAAAGGGTTTTGTTTTATTTTGTTTTGCTTTCTGGAAAGGGGTTTTTGGTTTCATTTTGTTTTCTGGAAAGGGTTTTTTTTGGTTTGTTTGTTGTGTTTTGTTTTCTGGAAAAGGAGTGGTTGGTCAGATAAGGGGGTGATAGGCCAGATGCCACAGAGTGCCCTATGAGGAGCAGGACCCAGAGCAGTATTACAGTGGGGAAGGCGCTTGCCTTGCACATGGGACCTGGGTTCGATCCCATTGTGATCTTGAGCTTGCCAGGACTAATTCCTGAGCACAGAGCCAGGAGTGACCCCTGAGCACTGGGTGTGGCCCAAAAACAAAACCAAAGGGAGAATGGAAAAATCTCCTGTGGACAGTGAAAGCCTGTCTCTCCCTTCTCGCTGGCCTGAGGCCTGCTCCCAGCTTGAAGACAGGAATTTTCCCCTCCTTGGGAGCTCAGTCACCACCTGGTTTGAGCAAAAGCCAGCATCCTCAGGGCTGGAGAGATACTATAGTGGGTAGGGCACTTGCCTTCCACACAGCTGACCCACGGTCCCGATTCCCAGAATCCTGTGTGGTCCCCAGAGCCCGCCAGGAGTGATCCCAGAGAACAGAGCCAGGACCAAGTCCTGGACATAGATGGGTGTCCCAAAACAGAACAAAACGGAACAAATCCAGCATCCTATAACATGTTATGGGGCCGGAGCAGTAGTACAGCGGGGAGGATGTTTGATTTGCACATGGCCGACCTGGGTTCAATCCCTGGCATCCCATATGGTCCCCAAGCACCACCAGGAGTAATTCTTGGGTGCGGAGCCAGGAGTTACCCCTGAGCATTGCTGGGTGTGACCCAAAAAGAAAAATAAAAACACATCATACTTCAGATATTCTTTTTTGTTTTGGGGCCACACCAGGTGTTGCTCAGAGGTAACTCCTGGCTCTGTGCTCAGGAATTACTCCTCGAAGTGCTTGGGTAATCATGTGGGATGCCAGGGATCAAACCCAGATCTGCCACAAATGCCCTCCCCGCTGTGCTATCACTCTGGTCCCAAACTTCATATATTTTTAATAAGGGATAATTTCCCAAACACACTTTTTTTTTATGCTCAAGAATAAGCAAAAAATAGTTCCTCTATTTTTTGTTTTGTTTTGGGACCACACACAGCAGTGCTCAGGACTTATTTCTGGTGGGCGTGGGGAACCGTATGGAGTGCTGGGGATGAACCCAGGTCAGCTGGTGTAAGGCAAATGCCCTACTCACTGTACTATCATTCCAGCCCTGTCCATCCCTCAATTTTGTTTTAAGCTTCAGGCTTTCTCAAAAGATCAGGGCATTTTACATAAATGTGATTCTAAGAGAATTTTGCTTGTTAATAGACTAGAGAGGAAATAGTGAACTTGTCGGACCCTGAAAAAAATAAAGAAAAGTGATTAGTGCATACTACTGAAGATAGGATTTTTTTGTTTGTTTCTTTGTTACTTTTTGGGTCACACCTGGTGATGTGCAGGGGTTCCTCCTGGCTCTGCACTCAGGAATTACTCCTGGCGGTACTCAGGGGGACCATATGGGATGCTGGTAATCGAACCAGGATCGGCCGCGTGCAAGGCAAATGCCCTACCCACTGTGCTGTCGCTCCAGCCCCAGGATAGGAAATTATTAAATCCACAAAAAGCTTCTCTCTTTGGCCACAATCACAGCACAGTTTCTAGTTGCTTTTTTATTAAACTAACTTTTTGTTTTGTTTTGTTTTTGCTTTCTGGGTCTCACCCGGCGATGCACAGGACTTACTCCTGGCTCTGCACTCAGGAATCACTCCTGGCGGTGCTTGAGGAACCATATGGGATGCTGGGAATCAAACCTCTGTTGACCGCATGCAAGGCAAATGCCCTACCTGCTGTGCTATCGCTCCAGCCCCCATGAATCACAGTGATTTTTAAAAGTTAGTTGAATGGGGCTGGAGCGATAGCACAGCAAGTAGGGCGTTTGCTTTGCATGCAGCTGACCTGGGTTCAATTCCCAGCATCCCATATGGTCCCTCGAGCACCATATCACTCAGGAGTGATTCCTGAGTGCAGAGCCAGGAGAAACCCCATTGCATCGCCGGGTGTGACCCAAAAAGCAAAAAAAAAAAAAAAAAAAAAAAATCATTGTGATTCAGGCCACATGTTTACAAGAGTGTTAACATTGACAGTTGCTGTGGACACAGTTAATTTACTACACCTGCTACTACCACAGTGCCCAGTAGCCTCCATCACTGTCCCTGTGTCACTTCCAATTTCCCCTCCCCGCCCCTGCACACACACCCCCACCCCCCTGCTTGGGCATCTGAGTTTTGTAGCCAAGGCCAAGTGTTTTCTGTCGGCTAGTCCTGTGCAGCCCCTCGTTTTGTCTTTCTCGACAGCACAAGTGAGCAAGATCATTGGGATCTGCCTTTTCCCCTCTGATTTCGCTTAGCAAAACCCAGCATCCTTGGAATGGTACAGCTGTGAGGGCACTTGCCTTGCATGTGGCCGACCTGGGTTTGGTCCCTGGCATCACATATGGTTCTCTGAGCCCACCAGGAGTGATCCCTGAGCCCAGAGCCCCGACTGACCCCTGAGACTTGCCAAGTGTGGCCAAAGAATAACAAAATCAGGAGACCCTCCAGTTCCCTCCAGGCTGTTGCATGATTTCATCCTTTCTTACAGTTGTATTCTAGCACTGTCTTCTCATTCATCGATTTGCTCTAGTGGGCCCAGTAATGTCTCCGTTGTGAGACTTGTTGTTACTGTGTTTGGCATATTGAATATGTCACAGGGAGCTTACCAGGCTCTGCCGTGCGGGCGAGATACTCTCGGTAGCTTGCCGGGCTCTCCGAGAGGGGTGGAGGAATCAAACCCGGGTCGATCCGGATAGGCCGCGTGCAAGGCAAACGCCCTACCCGCTGTGCTATTCCTTATCACGGCTTCCTTACCTCCTCATCTATTGGACATTTGGTTCGTGCCATCTGCTGCCATTGCATTTTCTGCAGTGAACAGAGGTTTGCAGACAGCTACTTAAATCAAAATTTTTGTGTTCTTCGGGGAAAATCGCTATATCATAATTGACACTCTGTTTTTAGGACTTTTGCGCTTTCTGGCTTTGTTTTCTTTCTTTTTTTTTTTTAATGAAGTTACTAAAGAACCAAAAAGTTCTCCTTTTAAAGCCAAGAAGAGCTCCATCTGATGATAGTACATAGGTTGTGTGTGCTGATGTCATAAAACTGAGTTTATAACACACCCTGAGGCCTCACCCTGGGGCTTCCCCATTGCTCACGGACACTCAGGACCTTGCCTGCCTGCCTGGGCGGGGCTCCCCCTTCACCCCCGCAGGGAGGACCCCTCCACTGCCTCAAAGCTCCCTGCCCCTCCCGGCTGCCTTCCCATCCCCTCCCACCCCCACCCCCCATCCACAGGCCCCAGCTAAGCTCCCACTTTCCATCGGGTTTGTGGTCCACATGCTCTGCTTGTGAACAGGCATGGAGGTGATGGCTGGTTCCCAGTGTGCCCCCAGATGGGGGGTCGGAGGGGAGGAGGGAAACGTATTCTGGGTGCTGGGGGCAAGCCGGCCTTCTTGCCCGGGCGCTGATAGCAGGCCTGGTTCTCACTCCTGCTCAGGTGTACTCCCTGGACTCGGCCGACTCCTTCCAAAGCTTCTACAGTCCCCACAAGGCCCAGATGAAGAGCCCCATCCTGGAGCGCCTGGCCGAGCAGATTGCCACCCTGTGTGCCACGCTGAAGGAGTACCCCGCCGTGCGGTATCGGGGGTGAGCAAGGCGGCGTGACGCCCCGTCCTGGGTCTGCGGTTTCCCCAGTTGTCTAAGGGGGCCAAGATCAGGGTGTCTCCCACCGGCCACTCTGTGACCCGTGTTTCTGTTACCGTGTTTCACCGTGACCGGGACAGCGCCCACCCAGGGGGCAGGAGAGAATCCACTCGGCTCAGGGTGCGGGAGCAGGGGGCCACTGCCACTCAGCCCAGGCCTCCCAGAGTTTGTCAGTGACCGAGTGGTTCTCGGCCTCCCTCGGGGCTCTGCTGCCACTCACCTGCTGTGCGTCAGGCACACAGAACTGCCCAGAGGAGCCTCGAATGGGCACTGTTAGGGAGGTTCTCAAGCCTTACCACCTCCAAGACCAGGCCCAAGAGGAGCGCAGGTCCGGGACAGGAGCATCTGAGCAGGGAGAGATGCCGGCGGCCGAGAGAACCCAGAGGGGCCAAGTCTGGAAGGAAGGAGGGTCTCAGTGAGTGGCCATCACAGAGGGGCTTCAGGAGCACTGCTGGCCGATGCTCCCGATGGCACTGGGGATGCCTCCAGCACTGAGCATGCAGAGGGCCACCAGCCGATGCAGCTACCTCCAGGGCCTCAGACCAGCCAGTCTGGGTCACGCCCCTCAGGGACTGTCTCTGAAAGCTGGGGGGAGACGCAGGCGTGGACGCAGTGCTAGGAGTCATGTATTAGATGTGTGAGCAAGAGCCAGGCAAGGAGAGATGGGGAGGGGTGGGCCTCTGTGAAAGGGTCTGGGACCACCACCACCTGCTAGGCACAAGTGCTCCCCTCTGGTGTGGCTCCCGGGTGGGCGTGGTCATGTTGTGGGAGCAGCTCTGTTTGGGTGGGTGTGGTCCAGTTGTGGGCGTGGCCTGGGTGGGAGCAACTCTTCCAGTGGGAGCAGTGGGCGTGGCTCCAGAGTGGGCGTGACTGTTCCAGTGGGTGTGGCTCCAGGGTGGGCGTGGCCCTCTGTAGGTGAGTGGGGGCCGTACCTGCCATCTGGTGGCAGGAGCACAGGAGGCCTTCAGCTTGACCGTCCCCCCGCTGTGTTGGCAGTTATGGCTCTCATCTCGAAGCAGGCCCCAGGAACCCAAGTGGGGGGAATTGGGGCACAGCCAGCCAGCTTGCGGGGAAACGGTGTGTGTAAGACCCCAGCCCGCAGAGTAGGACTCACCCCCCTCACGCTTTGGGCTGCGTATCCCCTGAGGGCAGGTGCCCCAGTTCACCCTATTCCCCTCCACTGTCAGGGAATACAAGGACAACGCCCTGCTGGCCCAGCTGATCCAGGACAAGCTGGACGCCTACAAAGCCGATGACCCCACCATGGGCGAGGTGAGTGCACGGAGACCACACAGCCGCCCCGGGCCCCACTCTGTGAGAGCCTCAGGACACACTCGGTGGGTGACAGAATCTGTGGCCCCCTCGGTTCTATTTCCCTGGACTGTCCCACGTCAAGCCCCGAGAGACGCTTGTCCTGGAACCCGCCCAGTAGTGCCATGTTGAAAGCAAGTTGATGCCAGGACCTTTCCTTTGTACACCGTGTGCATGAGTTGAGTCTGGACTGCAGCCCCCTGTCTCGTACTGTTGACATCACTGGGGCCAGACCCAGAAGGTCCTTTCTAATGGAACCACCCTCCGTCCTGGTGCACGGGCCGCGCCTGCTAGCAGCTGCACCAAGGCCCTGTTGATAAACTCGCTTTGGAGGTGGCTGTGTAAGCAAACAGGCTTACGTGGAGATGCACCTACTTCTGTCTCCAGACCCTCCCAACAGAGCGTCAAGCGAGGCCCCGGCAATTTTTGGTTGCTGGTGACAGGGCTTTTTTGGTGAGCCGGTGTGTCGGCCCTGCCCGGGCCACGGCAAGTTTTGAGACACAAAGCACTGGCCTTGGTGAAGAGTGGCCGAGAGCTGGGAACGCTAAGAAGCACATGTGTCCCGTGAGCTGCCGCCTCTTTGGTGCTTGGGGAATCAGGAGACGGGACACCTCATGACATATGCCGGCTTCCACGCTGACCCCTGGGGTTCTTGGACAAGTTGCCAGTGCCATCTCGCCAGGCTTGGCCTCAGATGTCACTTCCGGCTGCCCCAGTTCTGAGGGCACCCACACAAGCCAGTGATCAGAGGTGCCTGGGGGAGGGGACCAGAGTGATAGCACAGTGGGGAGGGCGTTTGCCTTGCACGCAGCCAACCCGGGTTTGATTCCCAGCATCCCATATGGTCCCCTAAGCACCACCAGGAGTAACCCCTGAGCATCACTGGATGTGTGACCGCAAAAGCCAAAACAACAACAGGTGCCTGGGGAGCTTGTGGGAACCCACTCCCTGTGCTGCCCCCCAGGGCCCAGACAAGGCGCGCTCCCAGCTCCTGATCCTGGACCGTGGCTTCGACCCCAGCTCCCCGGTCCTCCACGAACTGACCTTCCAGGCCATGAGCTACGACCTGCTGCCCATTGAAAATGATGTCTATAAGTAAGTACACGCGTGCCCCACAGGGCTCGGTTTGTGTGAGAGACGCGCCACCCCTGGAAAGAGGGCCTCGGGAAGCAGGCTTGCTAAGACGCTCTCCTTGGAGACTCCCCCAGACCCCCTGGGGCCCGCTGGGGAGCTCAGGCCTCCTTGGGGTGCAGAACTGCAGTTTGCCACAGGGCATTGTGTGGATTCAAAGTGTCCCTGTCACTTGGAATATCCTGGCCGTTGTCATGGCGGTGACTGTTGTGGAGAAGGACAGGTCTTCAGCTCAGGAGAACCCAGTCACCTACAGTCACAGCCTGCTGGGCCGTGTGGGCCGCGCAGACGCGTGGGTGCGTGGGCCTGACTCCGTGGCACATCAGGACCACGAAAGGTGACAGCATCCGGCAGCCACACTTCTCCCTGAGCTCCGCTCTCCTCACTGCAAACAGTGATGTCAGTGGCAGGCCGTGGGAACTGTTTCCCAGTTCCGGGCTTTCCTTTCTATGGGCGTAATTGTGCAGTAACCGTGTCTCGTGAACACTGACTGCAGAGGTGATGGTTTCACGGTGAGGGTGTGGTTGGACCCAGGGCCATAGTACAGACGGGAGGGCACTTGCCTGGCACCTGCTGACCTGGATTTAATCCCCTGCACCACCTCTGGACCCCTAACCCCGCCAGGAGTGATTGCCAAGTGCCAGAAGTAAGCCTGAACGCTGCTTCAAAAACAAACAAAAAATTTAATCAGAAATAAATAAAAGCAAGGGCCAGAGCGATAGTACAGCAGGTAGGCATTTGTCTTACACACCAACAATCCAGACTTTATCTCTGTCACCCCATAAGGTCCCCGGAGCTCGCCAGGGGGTTCCTGAGCACTGCCATGTGGGGCCCAAAAACCAAAACTAAATATCAATAAACATACAAAAGCAGACGTTGATGTCTTCTCTCCTGCCCCTTGGTACTGTCCATTTGGCTTTCCCACACCTGCCACAGCAGGAGCTACTGACCTCCTGGGCGGGCCAGCCACTCCCTTCCCTCCCGTGAGGGTCAACGGGTCCTCCAGACTGACCCACCGCTAACCCAGATCCACCCCCCAGTTGACTCGAGAGCAGAAGCGCGAGACCAGGGCCCATCAGCGGCCTTGCAGGGGTCAGGGGAGGCGGTCCTGGGGCCAGGGCTGCCTGTGAAATCATCTGTTGGGGGAGGCCGGCATCCCTCCAACCCTGACTCAGAGTATCTTTGTCTCTGCAGGTACGAGACCAGCGGCATCGGGGAGGCACGGGTCAAGGAAGTGCTGCTGGACGAGGATGATGACCTGTGGGTGGCTCTACGCCACAAGCACATCGCGGAGGTGTCCCAGTAAGAGCCTGTGCCCCAGACCCTGCGCCCAGCACCCCTGGTCCCTGTGCCCCTCGACCCTGCCCTGCCTTCCCATCACATCTCCCGCACTCCCAACCCCCCCCCCCCCCAGCTCTGTCTCCCGCGCCCATAACTGTTCCCTGTGCCCCCTGCCCTTCCAGGAGCCCCCAACTCCAGCCCCGGCTCACCCATATGTGACCTCAGGCATCCTTGAGGGTCAGTGGCTTTCGCTGAGGGCCGGGATGGTCCCCGGGACTCTGGACTCCTTTGCTGGCTCCAGTCCCGAGTCACGAGTTAGAGCATCGGGTGATGTCGGGGGTTCAGGGCCCACTCCTAGTAGCTCTTTCAGCAAAATGCTTGTGGGAGGTGGTTTGGGGGTGTAGTTTGTCGGCTGTACTTGGTGGTGCTCAGGGATAGCTCCTGGCTCTGCACTCAGGGGTCACTCCTTGGTAGGGTTTGAGGAACCCTAGAGGTAATCAGGGATCGAACCCAGGCCAGCCGCCCGCTGGTCCTTGCTAGCGCCCAGCCCCCAGTGCTTTGTAGACACAATTCCTCGGGGGACAGAGCTATGCTCCAGTCTGACTCTACTCCAGGCTCAGGCATCACTTCTGGCGGTGCTTGGGGGACTCCGCAGTGCTGGGGATCGAACCAGGGTTGACTGCACGCAACCAAAGTGCCTTTTCCCTGTACTCTCTCTCTCTGGCCCCAAAATACACACTTCTAAAGCTAGCTTGGGGTCCAGAACTTGTGCCTTCCACACAGCCAACACAGGTTGATTGCCTGGCACCCCTTATTGTCCCCCGAGCCTGCCAGGAGTGGGCCCTGAGCACAGCCAGGTATGCATGCTCCCAACCGCCAAGAAAATCTAGTTTGGAGGCCAAGGATGAAGCTCATCACAGTCCACCCACTGCTTCATATGTAGGATGCACTGGAGTCAATCCCAGGCACCATAACCTTAAAATGAAAGATCTTACATTAAAAATAAAGTTCTTCTGGGACTAGAGCAATGGCACAGCGGGTCGGGCGTTTGCCTTGCACACGGGCGACCCGGGTTTGATACCCAGCATCCCACATGGTCCCCTGAGCACTGCCAGGAGAAATTCCTGAGTGCAGAGCCAGGAGTAACCCCTGTGCATCGCCAGGTATGGCCCAAAAAGCAAAAAATAAATAAATAAATAAATAAATAAATAAAATAAAGTTCTTCCTTTCTACTGAGAGATCCAGACAGCTACATCCAGTTGGACTTTCTCGGCCGTGTGTGCTCTCCCTGGCTTCAGACCTGTAACTTCTGGGGCTGGAGCGATAGCACAATGGGTAGGGTATTTGTCTTGCATGGGGCCGACCTGGGTTCAATTCCCAGCATCCCATATGGTCCCCCAAGCAGAGCCAGGAATAATTCCTGAATGCAGAGCCGGGAGTAACCCTTGTGCATCGTCGGGTGTGACCCAAAACACAAAAACAAAAACAGACCTGTCACTTCTGAGCACGAGCTGCTCCGTTCTGAAACAGCTGCTCATTCTGCAAGTATTTCCATGTGTTTCCAACATTTAAACATTGTGAGCCAGCAGGAGCTGTGGATAACAGTTCTGCGTTTGCAGAGACACCGGGCCCTTGAGTTGGAGAACGTAGGTCTTAGGAGATGGAGGAGAAGCAGTGAAGTGTGCCCTGCTCTTGGACTCTGTGGTCTTGACGGTACTCTCCAAACTTTTTGTGATCATTCAGCTTTAGGAAAAGGTTCATCCAGGGCTGGAGTGATAGCACAGCGGGGAGGGCCTTCACCTTGCACATGGCCGACCCAGGTCCAATCCCCAGCATCCCATACGGTCCCCCAAGCAGTGCCAGGAATAATCCCTGAGCACAGATCTGGGAGTGACCCCTGAGCATCGCCAGGTGTAGCCCTCAAACCATACTCCTTAAAAAAGAAAAAGAAAAGCAATGAGTCTCTTGAGAATCACTTTACATGCATTGCTGATGGGCAGAAGTCGCTCAGGGGTGAGGCTCTTGGCGTGCGTGTGGGACACCCCAGCTCTATTCCTGGCAGAATAGTTATTCATGCAGTCCCTTGAGCACAGAGCTGGAAATATTCCTTGAGCAACCCCCGGCTCCAGAAAGGAAAGGTGCCCCGTGTTCCCGGGGAAGAGCCTCGCATCCAGAGGCCCCAGGTGTCGCCTGCTCTCTTCCAGGGAAGTCACCCGGTCGCTGAAGGACTTTTCCTCGAGCAAGAGAATGAACACGGGGGAGAAGGTAACCCTGACCTCGGGCCCCCCCCTTAGAGAGCCCCCTCTTTCTCCCCAGGATTGGGGGTGAGGGGAGGGGGGCGCTCCTCCACTGACAGTTTGGATGCTGGGGGGTGTCACTGTCCCCCTGGTCACATGACCACTGTCCATCCTGGGAGAGGTGCAGGGGCCACTCTGCTCCACCCAATGGCTCATGTCTGGGCACGCTGAGGGCAAGAGCCGACTCGCCCTTAGGAGCTGACGGTGGGGTCATCCCACCCGCCTGACCTTCTCCTGACCGTGTGTCAGTGGGGCCTCCCTCCAGCTGTGTCGCTGCCTGGCTTTGAGCCACCTCGTGACCCCCATGTCCTTCAGCTGACCCCCGACCCTGCCTTGTGAGCTCCCACTCAGGAACCCCCTCCTGGCCCTCCCGAGACCCACCATGGCCAGCCCCTGTGGGGACGGCTCCCCTGCAGGATGCCAGCGCCCCGAGACAGGACACGCAGCCTGGCTTTGTGTCTCCGCCTCACTGGCCTGTGTTCGTGATTTCGTGATTCAATGCTAGGTGGGGTCAGTGCATGGGGCCAGGTGGGGCGGGCAGCCACCCGCTTCCTGCCCTCTGAGGCCCGCGCTGCCGTGCAGAGACCTTCCCTCCCCCGTGACAACCCCCAGTAGAACCAGCTGCCGGCTTCCGAGCAGGAGTGGTGGGTGCCCGGGCGGGTGGTGACAGTGCCCTCCTCCCCTCCAGACCACCATGCGGGACCTGTCCCAGATGCTGAAGAAGATGCCACAGTACCAGAAGGAGCTCAGCAAGGTGAGGAGACGCTGCTGATGGCTTCTGGGGCCCCCAAGTTTGCTCTCCTCAGTCTGTTTGCACAAAGCCCCTGAGGAGCAGGCAGGGCAGCTCCTCTCCCCTTGGATCCCCCCTCCCCCTTGCCCTTGCCTCTCCCCCTCCCCCACCCCCACCCCTCCCCACCCCTCCTCCCGTCCTTCCTGCTCCTCCCTCACCGCCTCACCTCATCCTGTGCTGCTCCAGCAGCCTTTGATTTGGCTGCTGGCTCCTCTCAGCCAAATGAGAGAGAACAAGTGGGCTCAGGGGGATCCGTGAGAGAGTGAGCTCTGAGGGATCCCCATGAGTCAGTGAGATCTGGGGGGAATCCTCATGAGTCAGTGAGATCTGGGGGGATCTCCGTGAGCAAGTGAGATCTGGGGATCCCATGAGTCAGTGAGATCTGGGGAATCCCCATAAATCAGTGAAATCTGGAGGGATCCCCGTGAGATCTGGGGAGATCCCCGTGAGCAAGTGAGATCTCAGGATCCCATGAGTCAGTGAGATCTGGAGGGATCCCCGTGAGATCTGGAGGGATCCCCGTGAGCAAGTGAGATCTCGGGATCCCATGAGTCAGATCTGGAGGGATCCCCGTGAGATCTGGGGGGATCCCCGTGAGCGAGTGAGATCTGGGGATCCCATGAGTCAGATCTGGGGGATCCCCATGAGTCAGTGAGATCTGGGGGGAATCCTCATGAGTGAGTGAGATCTGGGGGGGATCTCCGTGAGCAAGTGAGATCTGGGGGATCCCCATAAATCAGTGAGATCTGGAGGGATCCCTGTGAGATCTGGGGGGATCCCCGTGAGCAAGTGAGATCTGGGGATCCCCATGAGTCAGATCTGGGGGATCCCCATGAGCCAGTGAGATCTGGAGGGATCCCGATGAGATCTGGGGGGATCCCCGTGAGTGAGTGAGATCTGGGGATCCCCATGAGTCATTGAGACCTGGGGGATCCTGTGAAATCTGGGGGATCCCCATGAGTGAGTGAGCTTAGCTTACAGGGGGGTCCCCTGAGGTGAGAACATGCTCAGAGGGGCTCCCCGGATAAGGGGGGTCACTTGGAGGACCCCTGTGGCTTGTCACAGCCTGTTCCCCACGTGCCTTACTCAGAGCGGGTCTCTGGGTCTAGCCCCACTCCGTGGCGGGAGTAAGGGGCTCTGGGGGCTCAAGGGGGTGTCACGCAGCCATGGGACTTGCTCCCTGCACAGAACTTCTCCCTCCTCTCGCCTCTCAGTGCAGGGCTTGTCCTGCCCCTCTGCGTGTGTGCACGCACGCGTGCATGCTCACTGGGGCATCCCATGGGGATCCGCTGTCCCTAGCAGACATTCGTTGACACGTGAGTCCAAACAAACTCTGCTTCCTCCTAGTATTCCACCCACCTGCACCTGGCCGAGGACTGCATGAAGCACTACCAGGGCACCGTGGACAAGCTCTGCCGGGTGGAGCAGGTAGGGCCGCCGCCTCCCCTTCCTGCCAGGCCCGTCCCAGCCGCGACTGGGGACCAGCACTGGGCCTTGGACACTTGCCTTTGGACTTTGCATGTCTTACCGCCCAGAGGCTCCTGGGAACGGCTAAAGAGCAGTGGACGGGCGGCCCGAAGCCCGCATTGGCCGGGACACCTACTGTCACTCTCTGAATACATTTTCTGCTGCCCTGGCCACACCTGGCAGCCCAGGGGCAGGCCGGACCATGCCATCGTGATGCGAACCCACACTCGGCCTCACGCCTCCTCACCCCACACTCACAGCCGAAGTCAGGCCGGAGCCCTGCCTCTCCCGACCTCTCCCAGGCTCTCCCTGTCTGCCTCAATGGGCCACTTTCCTCTGCTTCACTCTCCTCGGCCAGTGGGGGAGATCCCGTTGCTGCCCTGCTTCTCGGGGAGTCGGGGATTCATGTGGAGGCCCTGATCTGCAGGATGCCACCCTCCTTGCAAAGGGCACGGTCACGCAATCAGGGTCAGCGTGGAGGGGAAGCTGGAGCTGGAGCCCTCTGCAGATAGGCCCCTTCCAGGAAAAAGCCCCTTGCAGCTTGCTGGGGCTCTGGGCACAGGGCCTGGGAGTCTGGTCCTAGGCACACTCGGGTGCAGACAGCTGCCTTGACCCGGCGTCCACTCGCCGTCCACACCACTGGACGTCCCCTGGAAATGCATCTTGCCTCCATGTGCCAGTGGTTGTTTGCTGCTGCTTACAGGGCATTGGACATTTTATTTTGTTTTTGCTTTTTGGGTCATACCCGGCGATGCTCAGGGGTTCCTCCTGGCTTTGCACTCAGGAATCACTCCTAGTAGTGCTCGAGGGACCCTATGGGATGCCAGGGATTGAACCCGGGTCGGCCGAGGCAAATGCCCTACCTGGCTGTACTACACTCTGGCCCTGGCATTGGATTTTCAAGGGGGACATTAGAGTCACATTCAGCTGTGCCGCATGGGCTGAGGCTGTCCACCAAGGGAAAGACTGGGGCCCACAGTCTGTGGCCCCTGTGAGCACAGAGGGGACTGGCAGAGGTGGGCAGTGTCAGGGGAGCTTCAGGGGCCGCTCTACCAGCGAGATGCTGGACTCTTGACTGGCCGGCTGTAGGGTCGTGGGGAGGACATGCCCCAGCCCTGTCCAGTTGACCTCTGCGTCCCTTGTGGCCTGCATGGTGGAGGCCCAGTGTGTGTCTCCTTACTGGAGAATGAGAAACAGAACCAGACAGCTCAGCAGGCCAAGTGGAAGTTTTATTTTGGGGTTGTTTCTTTTTTTTTTCCGGTTTTGGGGCCACACCCTGCGATGCTCAGGGGTTACTCCTGGCTCTGCAGCACTCCTGGCAGTGCTCGGGGGACCATATTGGATACCACGGGTCGAACCCAGGTTGGCCACATGAAAGGGAAACCCCCTCCCTGCTGCCCTGTTGCTCCAGCCCCCCAGTGCAAGCTCTGGTTGCAGGCGGCCCAGGTTTGAGCTCCAGCCCCATGTGGTCCCTTTGAGCACAGAACACAGAGCCTGGAGTGCCCCGAGCACTACCAGGCGTGGCCCCCAAAAGAAATCCCAATCTAGAGAAGGAACCAGAGAGATAGTACACATTTCCTTACACATCACTGACCCTGAACCGCAGCAGGAGTGATCCCTGAGCACAGAGCCCTGAGCACTGCAGATTGTGACCCCAAAACCAACAAGCAAGGGGGTTGGAGTGATAACACAGCAGGTAGTGCATTTGCCTTGCACGCAGCCCGACCCGGGTTTGATTCCCAGCATCCCATCTGATCCCCCGCGCATGGCCAGGGATAATTCCTGAGTGCATGAGCCAGGAGTAGCCCCTGTGCGTTGCCTGGTGTGACCCAAAAAGCAAAAAAAAAAAAAAAAAAAAAAAAACCAACAAGCAAGACCCTAAAGTTAGAACTCAGGAACAAAGTCTATCCTCCGGGCTTTGGGGGCAGCGAGGGGAGGAGGGAGTCAGCAGGGACCCCAGACCGCCGACGTTCAGGCCTGGGCTTGCTTCTGGGGGGGCCTCCCTCCTCCCGGCACCCCCTGGCGAGCTGCGGGACCCTGTGCAAGGAGCGACCTGGCTCGCCTGTCAGCAAGGTGGCCAGTTGGAAAGTGGACACGAAGCTTGATCGGGTGTCAGGGAACCATGCCGACAGTGGCACATGGAGTGAGAGGGTGGGGTCAGGATGCTCCGTGGGGACAGAGCTTGAGCTTGTCCAGGCTATAGCCAGCAAGACCTGGGTGCTGTGTCCTGCAGGACCTGGCCATGGGGACGGACGCCGAAGGGGAGAAGATCAAGGACCCCATGAGAGCCATCGTCCCCATCCTGCTGGACGCCAACGTCAGCACCTACGACAAGATCCGCATCATCCTGCTCTACATCTTTCTGAAGAACGGTGAGGGGGTGCGGGTGCCTCCCGGGGGACGTGGGCAGCCGCGAAAGGATCCGAGTGTCCCTCTGCCTTTTCTGTGCTGCCTTTTTTTTTTTTTGCTTTTTGGGTCACACCTGGCAGTGCTCAGGGGACCCTATGGGATGCTGGGATTCGAACCTGACGCGGCTGTGGTGAGCGGGACAGGGACGGGCCCCAGGTGGCCCCTCAGCCATGGGAGCTGCTGGGTCTGTTCCAGGAATCACTGAGGAGAACCTGAACAAGCTGATCCAGCATGCACAGATCCCCCCGGAGGACAGCGAGATCATCACCAACATGGCGCACCTTGGGGTGCCCATCGTCACCGACGTAAGGGCGGGCGGGGGACACCTCACCCAGGGGCACTTCTCTCTCACGCACAGACACATGCGCACACACACGCTTACACATTCACACACACAGACACACACACGAGACTCTCACTCACACATTCACCCACACCCATATGCACGCACACACACACACACACACACACAGACATACACTGACAGACACACTTGTATAAACACACACACACATTCACAGACATATTCACGCACAGACAGACACACACACACATGCACACACATTCAGTGCGTGCGTGTGCTTCTGCCCAATTGGTCCTCCCTGCCTCACGTGTGCTTATGTGCGCACGCGTGTTTGTGTATGTGCATGCGTTACATGTTGTGTGTCCAACTGTGCAAGTCTACTTGTGTCCGGGCAGCCCTCCCCGGCCTAATTTCTGTGCGTGCATGCGTGTGTTGTGTGTGTGTGTCCAGACGGCCCTCCCTTCTTGCATGTGTGTGCCTGCATGTCCAGGCGGCCCTCCCTGCCTTATGCACATGTGTCCGTGCACGTGCTGTGTGTGCATGCATGTATATGCGGTGTGGATGCGTGTCCAGGTGACCCTGCCTGTCTCACACGTGGGTTTTGGTTCAGTCCACGCTGCGCCGCAGGAGCAAGCCCGAGCGGAAGGAGCGCATCAGTGAGCAGACCTACCAGCTCTCCCGCTGGACCCCGATTATCAAAGACATCATGGAGGTCCGTGAGGGGCCCCGGGGTGGGGTGCGGGGGGACGGCCGGGCCCAGTCCCTTCCTGGAGGCCCTGAGGCTTCCAGGCCCCTGCTCTTGGGAGCCCAGGCCCTAGGTTTCCTGTCCAGGGATTTGCAGCGTCTCTGAGCACGCCGTGTCTTGAGGGTTGGCGAGGAGATGCTGGGGTTCAGCCCTGGGTTAGCCCTCCAGGGCCCCCATCCCCGCTCTGAGCGTCAGAGGAGAAATGTGCTCCACACGAGTGTCCAGTCCCGCCATGAGGCTCTCTCGGGAGTGTGGAGCTCCAGAAGGGGACCCGGTGTCCCTGCTCTGCGGGACCCCGTTCAGCCTCTGCCTGCTGCTGCTGGGAGGCCCTGCCCCCTCCCACTCCTGCTGCCCGGCTTGGCCCAGGTGCCTCGTCCCTCATCCTTTCAATTCCCCCCACACCTGCAGCAGGCGGGATGGACTGTCCCAGCCCATGTCCATCAGCTGTCCTCTGTACCCAGCGGGGCCGGTGCAGGGGTCCCACACCCCTCTAGGGAGTGATGGGATGTGGCATCCCAGCCCTCTGGCTCTTGAGAGGTTATCTGTCCAAGTCCTGCTCCAACAGATGGACAGGAGAGGAGTCCAGAGAATGACAGGCCTCGCCCTCAGCTCCGCCCAGACGTAAACACAGCCCTGCCGGGCCTGCAGGCAGCTGCTCACAGAACCAGAGTGAGCGAAGGCAGCTGGGGGCCGCTTCCACCTGAGGAGCTGAAGTGGAGCGCTCCCTTGGTTCTCTGCCCCCGCCTTTTTTTTTTTTTTAATTTTTCCTTTTTGGGCCACACCCGGCGATGCTCAGGGCTTATTACTCCTGGCTCTGCACCCAGGAATCACTCCTGGCAGTGCTCGGGGACTCTGTGGGATGTCGGGAATCGACCCCAAGTTGACCACTTGCAAAGAGACGCCCTCCCCCATGGACTGTTGCTCAGATCCCTGTCCTCTGCCCTGCCTTTCCGCCTCCCTCCCTGCCCCTGTGGGCTTCGGGGGCAGCGGCTGTTAGGAGCATCAGTTTCTAAGCTGCAGGCGTGAGGTCCACCCACCAGACAAGCAAGGCCCTTGGAAACGAGCTAGAGGCTTCTCCTGCAGGAAATTCTTTTTTTTTCCCCCCACTTTTTAAATGCCACGTGAATCCTGAGATGAAAACCCAAAGCATTGGGCTGGAGCCATAGGGCACTGGGTAGGACGTTTGCCTTCCACGAGGCCAACCAGGGTTTGATCCCCGTCATCCCATATGGTCCCTGGAGCATCGCCAGGAGTAATTCCTGAGTGCAGAGCCAGGAGTAACCCCTGAGCATCCCCAGGTGTGACCAAAAAAAAAAAAAAAGAAAACTCAAAGCAATTGTACGAAGGGGCTGGAGAGATAGCACAGCAGATAGGGCGTTTGCCTTGCACGCAGCAGACCCGAGTTCGATTCCCAGCATCCGATATGGTCCCCTGAGCACCGCCAGGAGTAATTACTGAGTGCAAGAGCCAGGAGTAACCCCTGTGCATCGCCAGGTGTGACCTGAAAAACAAAAAAACAAAAAAACAACAAAAAAAGCAATTGTGTGACCGGAAGATGATAATATTGGTGCATTTCCGTGGGAGAGAGCATTTAATTGGTGCTCAGAATTCACCTAATCCCCCCCCCCCCCCCCCAGATAAAGAAACTGAGATCTAGACTTGCCCCAGACCTGGGAACTGGTGCTTGGCCAGCAAGGCCAGCCTCTGCCTCTGGGGCACCACGGCCCTGCCGGGAGATCCTCCCCCCCCCCCCCCCAGTGTGGCTGTCACTCCTGCAGGTGGGGAGAGAGGAAGGGGCTGGTGAGGCAGCAGAGTCGATGCAGTTGGTTTTGCTTCTGGGGGCACAGACCTGCGGCCAGAGCGCGGGATCCCCGTGAGGCTTGGAGGGCCGGGCTGCACCGGCGAAGCTGACCCGGGCTTTGCTGCTTGGCGCCTCCTGACCAGTGTCTCCTTTTTCTCCAGGACACGATCGAGGACAAACTCGACACCAAGCACTACCCGTACATCTCCACCCGCTCCTCTGCCTCCTTCAGCACCACCGCTGTGAGGTGAGGGGGGCCCCGACCAGACACGGGGAGGGGGGGAGTCCACAGCCCCTGGCGCTCACATGCACGCATGCACACATTTGCACTCACGTACACACACACACACCCCACGTGAGGGGCCTCGAGCAGACACAGGGGGAAAGAAGCCCACAGCCCCTGTCGCTCTCTCTCACACACACATACACACACGCCCCTCATGAGCAGACTTGGGGGACACCCACCCCCCACCCCCACTCCCCATGCCTCCCTGCCTCAGCAGGCGTCCACGCGGGGCCTCTGCACTGCCCCTACCTGGGCATGTCTTCAGGGCTCCCCTCACCCCTCCGCAGGCCTTGGCCTGGGGTCCCCCTTGGCTCACACCCATGACCCTCCCAGCCCTCCTACAAGGAGCACCCAAGGGAATTCGATCAGTTAGTGGACACATAGTGACCTGGACAGGAAGAGAAGGGCCAGGGTCAGCAGCCCCATAGGATGCACGCAGACTGCACCAACAGATGAGCATGGGGGCCGGTGGCAGGTGGGTGGGAGCAAAGGGACTGACCATTCACGGGCCAGGGTGTCCGTCTCAGATGGGGACCGAGGTCCAAGGTGGACGGGGCCAAGTGGGGGTCACAGTCCCGTGACAGCGAGATGTGCGATACGAGAATTTTCTCCCAAGCCAGGTGTTCGGGAGATAGAGGCCCAGGCGGGGTCCCGGGGCCCCCCTGTCCCCCTCCCCGCCGCCAGTCGCTCAGAGCACAGGGGAGTGTGGATAGGGACAGGGATCAGGCCCCCTCTGCCGCCCAGCCCAGCACGCTGCCTGTCTTCACCCTGATCACTTGCCCCTTTTTGGATTGTTCTAGAAGGGGGAGATTAGGTTAGAGCCCCAGGTTGGAGCTGTGGGAGATGGGGGAGGGGTCCCAGAAATCAGTTTTGCAAGAGAAGAGCTCCCCGCCCCATGTTCCGACAGCATAGCCCACACTCGCCTGGACGGTCCCTGCGGCCTGTGGGTACTTGGAGGGACCCGACCCCCACCCGCACCCCCCACCTGGTTCTCCTTCCTGCCCACTGCACGAAACCTCCCCGCAGGGCTGTGGGCACACAGCCCAGGTGCCCACTCAGGGACGCTGCTGCCGGCCCACACGTGGTGTCGGCTCCAGACTCACTCCCCTGTGCCTCACCGTGGGGTCGGGCCCACAGGGGCAGCCGGGGCTGAGCAGCACCTGGGGGGCTTCTGGTGGGCAGCGTGGCAGCCGCACACCTGGGGCTCAACAGTCCCCCCGCTCCACTGGAGGCCTTACGGGCCACTTGCTGTCGGGGCACTAGGCACCTGCTCAAGCGGCAGTGAGCACCAGAGGGCTCCGACCAGGGCAGGGTGAGGCCTGCACCCCGGGCAGGCGCCCAGAACAACAGCCTCATGGCTTCATGCCCCCTGAATCCCTGGACATGACTGTCCCCTGAGACCAGCATTTTGTTTCTTTGGTTTGTTTTTGCTTTTTTGGGTCACACCCACTGATGCACAGGGGTTCCTCCTGACTCTGCACTCAGGAATTACTCCTGGCGGTGCTCGGGGAACCATGTGGGATGCCGGGATCCAACCCGGGTCGGCTGCATGCCAGGCAAGCACCCTTCCCTCTGTGCTCTCGCTCCAGCAACCAGGAGACCATTTTCTCCGCATCCCCCCCCCCCCATTTCTCATTGGTCCTCTGAGCGCAGAACCCATCTCGGAGAGCCCAGGGTGGCCATTCTGGGGAACTGTCCCCAGTTCCCAGGAGGCCCCTGCGTCCCCCCTCAGGTCCCCCCGCGCTGAGCCCCTCCATCGGGCGCCTGCTTCTCAGTCCCTGGCCTCCTCTCCCCATGCCCCCAGAACTTGTGGCGGCCACAGCTGGGGTCACCGAAAGAGCCCAGCCACACGCTCAGGGCGCGGCCAGTAGGGGGACAGGAATGACTGGCCCTAGACGAGCCTGGACACGGGGGCAGGCGCTGCTGCCCATGGCCCACCCCGACGGGCCTGGGGAAGTGCCTCAGCCCTCGGGAAGCCCCGGCCAGTGGGCAAGTCACCGAGGGCAGGAGGCCACGCCGCGGACCCCACGGACACGAGGGCTGTCTCCCTCCCCGCAGCGCCCGCTACGGGCACTGGCACAAGAACAAGGCCCCCGGGGAGTACCGCAGCGGCCCCCGCCTCATCATCTTCATCCTGGGGGGCGTGAGCCTGAACGAGATGCGCTGCGCCTACGAGGTGACCCAGGCCAACGGCAAGTGGGAAGTGCTCATCGGTGAGTGCTCGCGGCCGGGGCCCCGGGGGGAGGGCCGGGCTGCTGCATGGCGCGTGCAGGCTCCCTCCCGCACCTCCGCGAGTCCCCCCGCCCTCGCCCGCCCTCACCCCGCACAACTTGGCCTCTGGCCACGTTGGGGGATGGCGGAGCTAAGGGGCCCGAGGGTCCCTGCCGTGGCCGGCCGGGCGCTGCATGCGGGGGGCGGCCAGGGCACGGCGCCCCCACCCCAGAGGCCGCCCTAGGCCTGGTGGTCACTGCGCGCCGGCGCCCGGGACTCCTCGGGGCCCCGTCCAGGTGACGCCCAGTGGACGGCGGGCTGGGCCTTCCCCGCCTTCGCCTGTCACGTCTGTGTCCAGTGCTCGGGCCACCGTGACCGGGACGCGGGGACGGAGGTGCGGGGTGCTGCGGGGTCCAGCGACTTCCCGCCGCACTCTCGAGTTTGGGGGTCCCCACTGCCTTCCCGGGGGAGGCGAGGACAATGTGCGGGAACTGTGGAGCTGGGCCTCTCCCGGGCCCCCACGGGCTCAGGGCTGGAAGGGCAGCGAGCGGGGGATGATCCGGCCTCGCCGGCGCCCCCCACTGCGCCCTTCACGGGCTCCTGGCCCTGCCCCCAGTGACGGCTCCACTCTCAGTGCTCCCGGGCCCTGAGCACCAGCAGGGGCCGCGGCCCAGAGCTTGCGATGGCTGGGCCGTTGAGGGGTGTCTGGGCCCATCCACCCCGCTCCGAGCTTCCACCATCCCGTGGGGAGACGGTCCGACGTCCCCCTCTCTCCCTCCTCCCGGAAGTGCTCTCTGGTCTCTGCTTCTCCCTGGATTGTTTTGTCCCTTTCTGTCACCCGGGCCCCTGCGGCCACGCTCTGTGTCCCCCTGCTTGCCTCTGTGTTGCCTGGTGGCCAGACGACTCCCTTCCCGGGCCGAAGCTGCCACGACCAGGCTCGGGCCGGAGTCTCCCTCTTCCTCTCAGACACCAGCTCAGCTTCCCCGCGGGGAGACGAGGGCCTGGTTGGAGTTGGGGACGGAGAGAACAGGGTGGGGGAGCGAGGGGTTAAGGGGTCGCACAGCGGGGAGGGCGTTTGCCTTGCACGCGGCAGACCCGGGCTCGATCCCCGGCACCCCAGGCGGTCCCCCGAGCACCGCCAGGAGTGATTCCTGAGTGCAGAGCCAGGCGTCAGCCCTGAGCACCGCCGGGTGTGGCCCCCCCAAAGCAAACACACACACACTGTCCCCTGCAGTGCCAGGGAGCAGCCTGGCGCGGCAGCTGACGTCCGGCGCCCCCCGCCCCCCGCATGCGCCCGCTTTCCCCCGCCCTCCTCGTGGGCTGCGGCGTGTCTGTCTGGCCTGCCTGGGCATGCTCCTCTGACGTACCTGTGTTCAAGCAGTCAGCTGGCCTCTGTTCTCCTGCAGGTTCTACTCACATTCTCACTCCCACCAAATTTCTCATGGACCTGAGACACCCCGACTTCAGGGAGTCCTCTAGGGTATCTTTTGAGGATCAGGCTCCAGCAATGGAGTGAGAGAGCCCAAGAAACAAAGTAAAAGCAGTTTATCCCAGAAAAGAAACTCTTCCACTCCGAAGGCTTTCTTTGACTCTCCCATCACTCTCGCTCCTTTCTCTCCCCTCTGCGACTCGTATGATTTCTCTGGTTTTGGTTTTTTTTTTTTGTTTCCCCCCTCCCCCACTTTGGACGAGAAAATGCTTGCCGTTCTTTCTGAGCACTGATTGAAAATGTGTCTAGGGCCGCCCGCCCTCCCAGAGGCCCGCGGGTGTGCCGACAGCAGCGCCCGCCTCCCAGGGATGGGCACCCCGGCGGGAAGGAGTGCCAGAACGCTGCCCACGGCACCCGAACCCGCTGCCCACACCTGCCGGCCCTGGGGGAGGCGGGAGCGGGGGAGGGCGAGGGGGAGGGCTCAGACAGCGACATCCTGCAGTGACCTGTGCAGGCTGAGGCTGCAGGGAGGCCGGGCTCAGGCGCAGGCGGACACCCGTGGGCCCCTGGCAGGGAGGAGGCTGGCGGGGAGCGGTAGGACAGGACAGACTCCGGTGGTGGCAGGTGACAGGGAGCCAGCCCCATCCTGGGACCGGTGGCGTCTTGACGACCTCGTGCCTAGCGGGGGGGCTGCCCTCCGGCTTGCTCCCATCTTCACTGTCCCATGAAGACTTGGAGGAGCTGAGTTACTGCTCCCCCTCAGTCCCTTGGAAGACACACGGGCTCTTTGGAGGGTACGACCCCCTCCCCTCAGTCCACACCTTCTCGGGTCCGGGAGTGGGTTCGAGGGACTGGAGCACCAGGCTCTGCGAGCAGGGTTTCGGGGGGTGGGAGGAAAAGGCTTAGTAGAACCCCCTCCCGCGGCCTTCCCTCGGGTCAGCCGTGCGACAATGCTGCTGCCCCGGGTACCAAGTCCGTCCCCAGCACCTCAGGCCGACTCACGCCCAGTGAGGCCCCAGAGTGTGCGACCCCAGAGGCGGGCTGAGGCCTGGCTTGGCTCTGCAGCTCCCAGCACTGGGGCCCCGGGGATCCCGGACAGCAGGACAGACTGCCCTGCCACCCTCTCAGATCCTGCTGCCCCCACCCCCCCAGGACCAGGACCAGGACCAGGCAGGTGGCTCGGGCGGGACCCGGGCCGTGGCCAGGCTGTGTGGGTGCCGGTGGGAGCCGCTCTCCCTGCCCACGGACCCTTGGGAGGGACGCGTGCTGACCCCGCATGTCCCTGTGAGTTCGTGTCCACAGACTGCACCCCACCTGCCCTTGTCCGAGGGCCTCTGAGGCCCCGAGAGCAAAGCCTGAGCCGCCCACGGCGACGGCGTGGCTGCTGCAGTGGCTGGTGGGGTGTCGGCTCTTACCCGCGGGGCCCAGGGCAGAGAGGGAGCACAGGCGCCGAGCAAGCACAGGCTCACAGCAGGAGGCGCCTCGGAGGGTTCCCCGAGCACAGTAACTCGAGCATCTCCTGAGCACTGCCAGGAGTAGCCCCAAGAACCTACCCCCAAAAAATGTTTTTATGAAGAAAAGGAAAGGGGCTGGAGCGCTAGCACAGCGGGGAGGGTGTCTGCCTTGCACTCAGCCAACCCAGTTCAACCTCTGGCACCCAAAATGGTCCCTGAGCACTGTCAGGAGTGATCCCTGAGTGCGGAGCCAGGGGTTAAGCTCTGAGCATCACTGGGTATGGCCCAAAAACTAGAAACAGGGAGGGCGGGAGGGAGGGAGGAAGGAAGGAAGAAGGGAGGGAGGGAGGGAGGGAGGGAAGGAAGGAAGGAAGGAAGGAAGGAAGGAAGGAAGGAAGGAAGAAGAGCCTCAGTATCTGGGTCTGATGTCCTTCTCCCCTGGGTGTCCAGCACACTGGACGTCAAGCTGGCGACAAGGCCCTCAACCTCGCCTGGCCTCTCATTGCTGCTGCTGAACTGGCCATGTGGACAGGGCCTCAGGGTGTCCGGCTCTGCAGTGAAGGGTCTCTCCACACCTGCGCACAGCTCGCACAGCTCACGGGGCCTCTAGAGACCCCCTACCCCACTTAGGTCTCAGCATCTCTTGTGTGTCAAGTGATCGAGCCCATTGCAGGCAGGCCTGGCCTGCTCCCTGCTCAGTGCCAGTCACGGGTGGGGGGAGGGTGTTAAGAAACCCTGGGTGCTGAAAGGAGCCCCAGGGAGCATTGCGGGGAGACGCTGAGCCCACGCCCGACGCTCTTCCGCACATCCCAGGTATCAGAAAGCTCCAGACCGTGGCTTCCTTGTGCCCTCCTCACCCTCCCCAGCCCTGAATCTGCAGGAACGGAGGTCTCGGGGCGGGGGGTGGGGGGGCTCTGTGGGTACCACAGTGGGCAGAGCTGCCCCATCCCTCCCTCCTGTCCGGCTCTCCCCTGAGACCCTGGTGGTTTCCCAGAACCCCGTAGTGACTGTGGCCACGGGTGTCTGTGTCCGCCCAGACGGGTGCCCTTGACCAGAGCAGTCTTTCCCCTTCCTGTAGAACTGACAGGTCAGGGAGGGCGTCAGCATGGATACGGGGGGGACACACAGGGAGCTTGGCAAGCACCCGGGGACACAGACAACTGGGGCTCTGCAGACAAAGGAGTTGGCGCCACGGGCAGCGCCAAGGTCACGACAGCGTTCCCGGGATGGGGTGCTGGAAGCAGCCCTGTCCACAGCAGGCCCCCGGGCGAGGGGAGCCTGCGGGGGTCCCCCATCCTGGCTGCCTGGAGGCGGCGTCCGGCTGAAGTTCTGCCCCAGGAGGCCCTTCCCTCATCCGCCCACACCTCCGGAGGCACATTTTCAAGTCCGAGCCCCCACGTTCCTTCTGGGCCGCATGCGTGCACGCTCATGCTTGACTCGTGTCCCGTGTCCTGTCTAGAGTCCGTGTCCCCTCACATGCCTCTTTCTTCATGCACGCGTCAGCGCTCGCTCCGTCTCAGTCTCTCTGTCTCTGTCTCTCTCTCTGTCTCTCTCTCTCTCGCTCTCCCTCTCCCCTTCTGGAAAGGGACTTCATTGATTTTTTTTTTTTGGTTACTTTTGCCGTAGAAGTATATCTGATTCCATTAGCTTAGATTTTTGCAAGCATTTCTAACCTCTTAGCAGTGCGCGGGCTCTGCAAGGTAAGGCCTCAGGCCCCCGCCCTCCCCGGCAACCTGAGGTCCCCGCCCTGGGGCAGCACCCACCAGCCGCAAGGGGGTCGGGCACATGTCCCTCCCCCCACCCCCCCAGACCCCCTCTGTTCCACACTCAGGCCCCAGTCTTCTGGCCCTGATGTTTGATGTTTGCAGTCTCCTGAGCTGGCCGAGCCCAAATGGGGGGGTTGTGGGGGCTGCCCCCCCACCCTTGGTCCATCCTGGAACCTCGCCTGAGCCGGAGGACGTGTGTGTTTACCCACAAGCCCCTCCTCGGCGGCGGCTCCCAGGCCTGTGCGACCTGGTCCCCCTCCCCCCAACCCCGAGCCCCCGTCCCCAGCCCCTCCCCGCTGCCACGAGCCCCCCCGGGCGGGGGTGGGGGCATGGCCAGATGGGGAGCTGGGGAGGGGCGGGAAAGGAAAGTTGGGGGGCGCGAGGACCCACACGCTCACTGTCTTTTCTGCTCCCCCCCTCTCGGCCCCCCCAGGATCCACGCACATTCTCACCCCACAGAAACTGCTGGACACGCTGAAGAAACTGAATAAAACAGATGAAGAAATAAGCAGTTAAATAAGCTGCTGCCCCCTCCCCCCGCCCCTGCGGCCGCCCACCTCCCCCCCCGCCCCCTCCCCTCCCCGGCTCTGCACGCACAGTCGCCGCCACGTTCTCGTGTTTCGTGACGCCCCTTCTCGTGTGAAACGGGAGAAAACGCTGCATCGTGTGTTCCAGAAAGAGTGTCCTCCGGGCCCGGCGGGGGGAGACGCCTTTGGGACACGGGTGTGGGGGGGAGGGGCCTTGCGGCCCGAGAAGCTGGGCAACTGCCGAGTGACTGGACGCACCTCGGACCTGGGGTGCAGCTGGGATGAGCCGGCCCGGGGAGAGGGGTTGGGGGGTCCGAAAACCTGTGTGGGGTGGTGGGGTGGCTGCGGTTTCCTCTGGGAACCACCTCACCAGGCGCCACCCTCCCCTCCCCACCCCAGGAAGCATCTCAGGTCTGAGACTCTCCCCCCCCCCCAGCCCCCCCCCCCTGCCTCGTGCTCCCGGCCCCTCTCCCGTGCTCGTCCCTGTTGGTTTGTGAATGGAATCAGGGTGCAGCGGGGGAGGCGGCCCGAGGGTCCATGAGCCCCCCCTGCCCCCGCACCTGGAGGTCCTGCTCCCCCTTGACCCGACAGTGCTTCTTGCCCTGGTGGGGCTGCCGGGATGCAGAAAGCCTGGGGTCCTGCCGAAGAGAGGGCTGGCCTGCCTCAGTTTCCCCCACCCCTAGGGGCCGTGTGTGAGAAAGAGAGTCATTTTATTCCCTGTAAGAATGCAGCCCGAGCGACCCTTCACCGCGAACTGAGCCGCCCCTGGATGCCGGGAGCCCCCCCCACCTCCCAGCCTCTCTGCATCCCCCCCCCGCCCCCCGGCCGCCCCATCCTGCTGCCGTGCTGGGTCGGGGAAGAGAATGGCCCCGGAAGTCACAGACGCGCCCCTCCCGCCGCCCCGCAGACGCGTGTGTGCTGTCTCGTGCTGTGCCGTCCTTGTCGCCGCGTGCTGCGTGCTTCGGCGCTTTCCCTCCGGAGCCTGCTCCCGGCCCACCTGGGGTGCCTCGTGCCCCCCTCCAGGCGCCCCTGCACTCGGATGAGTTGTCCCCGCCCCCCCTCCGTGTCCCCGCGAGCTGATTTCCGTAGGACTCCGCCGTAGGCCCCCCCCCACCCCGCATCGGTTCGTTTCTCGCCCCTTCCCGGAGCCGGCACCGCGCCCCCCCCGCCCCCCCACCCCGTGTATGGAACGTCGGTTTTCCTTTCTCTGTTATTTATATCAAAATAATTTATCAAAAGGATATTTTAAGAAAGCTAGTCCGTCTTGGAACGTGTCGACCTTGGAATGAGCAGAATCTCAGTGTCGGGAAAGGATCGAAGCACAAACCTTGTAGCCTCTGTACCGTTCTGTACCGCAGCGCTGAGTCCAATAATAAAGAAACCTCCGTCTCTCCGGCTCCCGCGCCTCGGGCAGCGGGCGGGGGGCTGGGCGGGCCGAGCCCCTGAGTGTCTGAGTCCCCAGCACGTCCACAGCTGCGTCCCCCTCAAGCAGGTGAGAAGGTCACCATCGGGATGCCCCCAGCCTCCTCCCTCTGCTCCCTCCGGCCCCCACGATGGGAACTTTCCAGGCTGCTGCGTGGTCAGCCCAACGTGGAGGCCAGCACTTGACCCAGCTTGGGAAACAGACCCTCAGGTCAGGCCGAGGGTCCCTCCGGAACCTTCTAGAATCCTCTACCCACAGATGGTGGGTCCCGGGGCCGGCCGTGGTCCCCTCTGTGGCGGATGGCAGCAGCACCCCATCTTTTGTCTGGTGCTGCGTGCCCTGCAGAGGAAGGGCACCCCACAAGCCTGGTCTGTGGGTGTCACCCCCTTTCTTCTGGAGCTGTGTTCCCAGTGACAGCCTCCGGGGGTGGACCCAGGAGAGGAACATCTGCCTGCAACATTGCTCAGAAGCAAAGGTCCACGGCCCAGGACAGACACTACTGTCTCCTTCCAGCTCTGTGCCCACACACACACATTCCCGTCCCCTGCACGGGTTCCTGTGGCCCCCGACACACCCCAGCTCCTACCCGGCCTCCTCTGCCCTCTGACACACACAGACACCCCGCCTTCTGTACCCTCATGTGTGAAGACACCCCAGGGAATCAGTCGGGAAAGAGGCTCCCCAGATAAAGCTGGTTTTGTGTGGCGCTCCCCGCCCACCAAGCCAATCTCACTTGAAAGCACGTCACTGTCACTGTCACTGTCCTCCTGTTGTTCATCGATTTTCTCAAGTGGACCCAGTAACGTCTCCATTGTGAGACTTTGTGGCTACTGTGTTTGGCATATCGAATACATCACGGGGAGCTTGCCAGGTTTTGCCGAAAGCACATCATTGAAAGAAAAAAATAATAAATAGAAAAAATTAAAAACAATTTATGAAAAAAATATTTTTTAAAAAAAGCAAGCACATTATTGAATCACAAAATACAGGCAGTGGCTGGAGCGATATAGCACAGCGGGTAGGGCGTTTTTCTTGCAAGCGGCCAATACGGCCGATCCGAGTTTGATCCCTCCGCCCCTCTTGGAGAGCCCGGCAAGCTATCGAGAGTATCTCGCCTGCACGGCAAAGCCTGGCAAGATCCCCGTGACGTATTCAATATGCCAAACACGGTAACAACAAGTCTCACAATGTTACTGGGCCCGCTCGAGCAAATCGATGAACAACGGAGGACAGTGACAGTGACTACCTGCCGCACCCTGCCAGCTCCCTGTGTGTCAGGAAGGAGGCTTTCTGTGTATCTTGCGGAATCTTCTCAACAGCTCTTGGTGGGGAAACAAAGGCACAGAGATACCCAGTAACTTGGCCAAGGGGGTCCCATCTATCAGGCTCTATCACGGCAGAGCTATGAACACAAACAGCCGATTCAGAGCCGCCACTGGGAAGACCAGAACAGAGTCAAGAGGTTAAGGGTTGTGGCCTGCCTCAGTTTCCCCCAACCCAGGCACCCCTGTCTCAGAGATTTCCTGACTTCTGGTTCCGTGTGGGTGGAGCCATGTGTCCTCATACTTGTGAGAGAAAAGAGTCATTTTATTCTCTTTAAGAACGCAGCCAGGGGGCTGGAGCAATAGCACAGTGGGTAGGGCATTTGCCTTGCACGCGGCCAACCCAGGTTCGATTCCCAGCATCCCATAGGGTCCCCCGAGCACTGCCATGACTGATCCTTGAGTGCTGAGCCAGGAGTAGCACTGAGCATTGCCGGGTGTGACCCAAAAAGGGAAAAAGAAGAAAACAACACAGCTATACAAACCCTTCACACAACTGAGCCGTGCTGGGTGCCGGGAGCCCCACAGGGTGTCTGCCCGATGAAGACACCCCCACAAATGCTCAGATAACAAAAAGCAGGGGGCTGGTGGCAGAAGGGGACCCCACCTGACCAGACTGCACCCAAAGGTAACGTGCCCGCAGTCAGGGTCACATGGTAACTGCCTGCAAGCGCGAGGCCCAGGACTCGATCCTGGCTGCCCCCACTCCAATCAGTGAGTGCTTCAGCACCAGCTCCGGCCATTCCCGGGCTTGGGGGCTTCCACAAGGGGTCCCTGTAGACATGCTGCTCGTCTCCACACAGCACAGCACAGCTGCTGTGTGAGGCCCAGAGAGGCCCACTGGGAGGAGCTCTGACCGGCTGCTCCTTGCTCCTCGTGACAGCTCCCCACCCCCGTCCACATCACACACAGGTCACAGGCCAGATGCCCCAACCAGTGACCACAGCTTCTCCCAGCAGGGGCTCTGGGGCGCTGGCAGAAAAGGTGCAGCTACTCCGGAGCAGACATGGGGGTACCTTCCTTCAGACCAGTTTTTGGTTACTTGATCTTTCTCGAAAATGCTCCCACTGGGGCTGGAGCAATAGCACAGCAGGTAGGGCGTTTGCCTTGCATGTGGCTGACCCGGGTTCGATTCCCAGCATCCCGTTTGGTCCCCCGAGCACCGCCAGGAGTAATTTCTGAGTGCAAAAGCCAGGAGTAACCCCTGAGCATCGCTGGGTGTGACCAAAAAAAAAAAAAAAGAAAATGCTCCCGGTAAGGGGGTTGCTTTGCACGCAGCTGATGCAGGTTCAATCCCAGGCATCCTACAATGGTCCCCTGAGCACTGCCAGGAGTAATTCCTGAGCATCACCAGGTATGGTCCTGAAACAAGCAAATAGCTCCTTTCTTTGGGGGAGCCCGGGGCCCACCAGCCGCTGTGTGGTCACGATGTGGCTCGGAGTCCAGTGTCTGCCTGGACTTTCATCCCCGCAGTCCAAATTGACATCAGCAGCGGCTGCCTCGCAGGGTCTGCACCCATGTGGTCCTGTGAGAGCTGTGTCAGCGACTCTCTGTGCCAGCTGCCACCAGGGCTCCACGGTGTGGCCAGGAAGGAGACAGACGCATGCCCAGGCGCCCCCTGTCTCCCCACCCACGCACAGGCACACGCACGCACGCACACACACACACACACAGCCTGCTCCAGGGAGGGGACAAGGGTCCCAGTGTGGACAGCAAGGCCAACTGTCCTGAGCCCCAGCCTCCTTCCCACCGAGGCCCAGCCCCCAGGTACTGCCCTGGGCTCCACCTGGTCCTGCACCTCACCCCCCCCCCCACCCCGGATGCTGAAATCACACACACACTTCTAACCCTTGCCAGAGCCTGGGTGCCCTCTGGTGCTCTCACATCAGTCACTGGGGCGGCAGAGCCCGAAGGGTACCCTGAGGACCTGGCGTCCTGGTGCCTGAGAGCTCGTGCTCTGGTGTTCCGGGCCAAGGGTGTGTCTGTCTGTGTCGCGTGGAAGAGCGGGCAGGTGTCCACTCTGCTCAGAGGGGCAGAGGGCAGAGCCCCTTTAAGGCCAGCTTGGCTCTCAGCTCGTTGCTATGTCTGGGACCAACTTCCTTAGCAACCACTTAGTCCCTTAAAGGGGCCTGAGCGGTGGCTGCCACCAGCCATGGCTCCCAAAAAGAAGACAAACAAGGTGCCCAACGAGCTCGAGAAGAAGCGGAGAAGCGGCAAGAAGGATACAGGCATCCCCAAGCCCTTAGAACCACCTTTGAGCGAGGAGACGAAGGAATTCTACCTCATGCAGATCCGAGACCTGGAGGACAGGCTGGCCCGGTGGGTGGGCCGGCGGGGATCCCCCCCACCGGGGATGCCAGGCTGTGCCCCAGACTCCTGAGGTGGGGTCCGCACCCCTCCTCACCTCTGGTCCCTTCCAGGCAATGTGGAAGGCTTCGAAACTTGGAGGGGAAATTAGTTTCTCCAGCCGCTCCCGGCTGTGTGCTGGGGTCCCGAATCTAACTGGCAACCCTGACCCGGGCAGGCCTCCCTCCTGCCCATGTGACTCATCAAGGGGCGTCTAGCTGGTGAGATGAATCAGGAATTATACCCTGGGGGTTCCTTCTTCCATCTGCCCTATCTGGACCGTGGCACTGTGTGCCCCAATAAACCTACCCAGCTGCTGGCCCAGGTATCCATGCAAGGCCTCAGTTTCCCCACTTGTGAATGAGAGTCACCCCCTGCCGTGACTGTGTAGCATGGAGGGGGGGCTCCCTAGCTCAGAAAAACCTGCCCATAACCTACTGCACTTTATTGATTGGACTGGGGGTCCTCCCTGGCAGTGTGCAGGACTTGTTCCTGGCTCTGCACTTGGGCATCACTCCTGGCAGGCTCGGGCGGGGAGTGGTGAGGAGCGGGGTACCACCTCCTGCAGCTTGAAGACAGTCTCCTTCCCATCGCGCCGCCCTACAGCCTGTCTTGGGGCCGCCTTGAGACGGACCTCTTTGCTGATGAGCGAGGTGGATGGATCTGATGCTTCATGCGTCCCCCACATGTGCTCACTACACCCTGGAAACTGTGCCAAGGGCCTGGGCCTGCCCCCCAGTGCACTGAGGCTCAAGAAGGAAGAGGGACACTCAGGAAAAGGGACCGGGCAGGGGGAGCTCCGTGCTCCTTGCCTGCCCCGCACCAAAGGCACATAGCTAAGCTCTAAGCCTCCAGGGGCCTGGATGACCATTTAGCTGCCGTGGGCATGCCAGGTCTTTCGGGCAGGTCTGTCCAGTGTGCCACGGGGAATCGGTGCATCATTTAAGTGACCATCTAATTAGACACCCACAGGTCCCCTCAAGCTGGTGCACCTGTGTATTTGAGGAAAGCATTGGGAGACAGGGGGCGGCTTTCCAGCTCCTCTACCAAGCCCCAAGAATGCAGGGGAGGGGGGACGGGGGTCTGCTGGCAAAGACAGACACGACCGCCACTACCCAGGCCTCAGCTGCCCAGGCAGACCAGGGTGAGTCTCCAGCAGAGCACCCGAGAGAGGGCAGCGTGGGGGCCCAGGGGTAGGAAGGAGAGAGCTGTGTAGCATGGTGATAGTGAAGCCAGGGAGGCCCGACCTCACTTGGGTGCAGGGGTGGCCATTTTGAGCTAAGCACCTTGAGGGCAGGAGAGTCCAGCGGCAGGCACTGGCCTTTGCCTGTGGCCAACCCGAGTTTGAGACCTGGCACCGCAGAGGGTCCACCCAGCCCTGCCAGTAGTGATCTCTGAGCAAAGTCAGGAGTTGGCCCTGAGCACTGGCCTGGTGCGGCCCCAATGTTCCCCCGAAAAAGAGACTCAACCTTGGGCCAGAGATGTATGGGGGTTAAGGTACATGTCTGGCATGCAGCCAACCTCGGCTGGATCCCTGACCCCACCCCCGAGCACAGCGCTGGAGCCCCTAAGCATCACCGGGGTGCTCTCGAGCACTGCACGGCCTGACCAGTGAGCTGCCAGCTCCACTGACTGAGAAGTGCCTGGTGGGACCTCTGGGCTCCTGAGCACCCCCAAAAAGACCCTCGACTTTGGGGGTCAGACTGACTTGAGTTCTGGTTCTGCTGCTCACTGACAAGGACTTTATTTTGATCCTTCAGAGCCTCAGGTTTTCACATCCGCAAAAAATGGTATTATCATAGCCCCTAATTCCTCGCTTTTTTGTTTCGGGAATGGTTTTGTTTTGTTTGGGGCCACACCTGGCAGTGCTCAGGGTTTACTCCTGCCTCTGTGCTCAGGTTCACTCCTAGCAGTACTCAGGGGACCATATAGTGTGCCAGAAATCGAACCCAGGTAGGCTGCGTGCAAGGCAAGCACCCTACCTGCTGCACTCTGGAAGCACCCACCCCACCGTACTGTCTCTCCATCACCCCCAATCCGTTACTGTTGCTCACCTATTCAACAGATACACAGGAGAGTGGCCTTAGGGCCCGGCACCGTCTGCCCAAGGGGTAGGGGGCACAGCTGTGGACTGACCCAGACCCTATCCTTGCAGGGGACACCTCTGGGCGAGCCAGCGGCTGGGCGGTGGGAGCGGATGAGGGGGCGGGCTCTGAGGGCGGGGTGGGGAGAGCAGGCCCGGACCTCTGCTCTGCCCCCGCCGCCGCCGCAGGTACCAGCGCAAGTGGGACGAGCTGGTCGTGCAGGAGAAGCAGTTCCGCCAGGAGTTTGAGCAGCTGGCCACCAACAAGAAGGAGATCGTGGCCTTCCTCAAGCGCACGCTCAACCAGCGGATGGACGAGATCGCCGACCTCAACGAGCAGCTGCAGAGCCTGCAGCTGGCCAAGGACATGGAGAAGGATGCTTTCGAGGCGCAGCTGGCCCAGGTGCGCCACGAGTTCCAGGAAACCAAGGACCAGCTCACGACGGAGAACATCGCCCTCGGTGAGGGGCCCGGGAGCCCCGGCTCTGGGCCAGGCCTGTTGGCTCTGCCCACCTCTGTGCACAGCCTGGGGCCAGCCCTTCTCTGCCCCCGTTTCCTCACCTGGGCCAATGGGGAAATGATGTGTCACCCCACACACACCACTGTTTTTTGGGGGGCCACCCCTAGCAGAGGGCCAGGGGTTACTCCTGACTCTGCACTCAAGAGATCATTCCTGGCCATGCCTGGGGGATCATACTGGGATGCCGAGGATCAAACCCGGGTCTGCCACGTGCAGGGCAAACGCTTGACCCACTGGACTACCTTTTTTTTTTTTTGTTTTGGAGTCACCCCCGCCGATGCTCAGGGATTACTCCTGGCTCATGTACTCAGGAATCACTCCTGGCGGTGCTTGGGGGACCATATGGGATGCTGGGAATTGAACCCGGGTCAGCTGCATGCAAGGCAAACGCCCTACCCGCTGTGCTATCGCTCCAGCCCCCCGGACTATCATTTTGACCCCCATGTCCTCTGTAACTATAGCCCTGTGCGGCTCCCCACATTGACTCATAATTGTGCCCCTAGTGCTGGAGACAGGATGTTCCATGCCCCACTGGTAGATGCCCGAGGGCCCTCACAGCCACCCGCTGGGGAGGCCATCCCATGGACTCAGGACAACACTGGGCCAGAATGGGGTGGAGGGTGAAGGCCAGAGGCTGTTGTGATACATTTTCACGAGAAGAGTGAGAGAGGTTCATGGGGTGGGGGGCTTCTTGGAGGAGGTGGCACCCGAACAAGGTTTCTCAGGACGAATGGAGGAGGGACGGAGGGAGGGCATCCCAGACCAAGTGTGGGTCCATGGGGCAGGACTGAGAACCACCTGCCTGGGGACAGCGCCTCTTAGAGACCAGGGACCATGGTGCGGTGGGGGGGAGGGGGCGCCTTTCAAGGTCCTCGATGCCCCGAACGCCTCCCCCTCACCGGCCCTGTGCCCTGGGCAGGGGGGAAGCTGGCAGCCCTGGAGGAGTTCCGGCTGCAGAAAGAGGAGCTCATGGAGAGGTTTGCGGTGCTGGAGGACCAGCTGCGGAAGCAAGAGAGCGAATACAAGGAGCACATCTACAACACCGAGAAGAAGTCCATGATGGACAAGGACAGGTGGGCGGGGCCGGCAGGGAGGGAGCCCCCCACCCCCTGCCTGTCGTCCCTGTCTTCTTGCCGTGCCTAGTAGGTGATGCAGGCCCAGGGCTCGGAAGGCTCTAGAACGAATTCGGAGCTGGGCCGCGGTGCTGATGCCCGCTCCCCTACCCACCCACCCCCGCCCCGCCAGGCTGCGGAAGGAGATCATCCAGCGCGTGAACCTGGTGGCTGCCGAGTTCCGCAAATTGGCCGCCAGCCAGATGTGGGACACGACCAAGCGGACCATCACGGAGAACAACATGGTGACCCTGCAGCTGTCCAAGGTGTCCCGGTACGGCCTGCAGCTGCTGCAGGAGAACGAAGAGCTCAAGAGCACCCAGTGCCAGCTGCGCCAGGAGCTGGAGCTGCTCGAGAGCACGCAGAAGGCCATGGCCAAGAACAAGCAGTCCCACGAGAAGGTGCCCTGCTCCCCAACGGGCGCGCCCGCCCCGCCTGGCACCCCCGCAGCTGCTGTGGGCCAACCCGGCTGGCTGTGCAGGGCTGGATGCGACCCGAGAGATTCTGGGGGAGTGGCAGAGAAGGGGCACCCCCTCCCCACCACAGCCCGGCTTTTCCTTATTTGGCTTTAAGCCCCCCTCCCCCCGTAAGCTGTTGGAGTGGAGCTGGGTGGGGGACAGCGGTGGTGTCCAGAGAGGAGAGGCTGGGTCCTCTGGGGACTTTGGTGGCCTCTCTCTCTCTCTCTGGGCCAGGGGTGAGCCCTGGGTGTGAGGGAGTGCCCGCCTGCACCCACAGCTCATCCTCATGCTGACCGAGAAGTGTGAGGAGCAGCAGCTGGACCAGAAGGAGGTGGAGAAGATGCAGGCCCAGCTCAGCAAGCAAGAGCACTGCCTGCAGAAGCGGGAGGAGGAGAACCAGGCGCTGCGGTGCGGGCGGGCGGGCGGGTGACCCCTCAGAGGGAGGGGCTGAGGCCCCCGGCTCACCCTTCTGTCGGGGGCGCAGGAAGAAGACTGAGCAGCTGACTGCCAGCCTGGAGCAGCAGCAGGCCAAGGGGCAGCGGCTCCAGGAGGAGCTGGCCCAGGAGCAGAACACTAGGGCAAGGCTGGAGAAGACCGTGACCCAGGTCACCTCGTTCCTCCAGAGCATCCTGCAGGTGGGCCGGAAGTGCTTGGAAGCAGGGGCGAGGGGTTCTGAAGCCCTGCAGGGTAGCGGGAGGTCGTCCAAGGGGCTGGCCCGCCTCGGTCTTGTCATCTTGGCGGGGTGAGGGCGTCTCCCCTGCAGCTGTGGCTGGGAGAACCCTCGGGAAGTGGGGTTCCGTTCCCCGGAGGGCCTGATGGCGGTGCCCCCCCACCCCGACAGATGCAACCAGAGGAGGGCAAAGACTCCGAGCTCCTGTTCCAGCTGCAACAGAGGGAGCTGATGGAGCAGCTACTGGCCATGCTCAGCTCGACCCTGGCCCTTGATCCCCTTCAGGCCGCCAGTCCCCACCAGGAGAGGTGAGTGCTGGCCCGGCTGGGGGGACTGCAGCCTTCAGTGACACGAGGCGATGGCCGTGTCCCCTCCCCACAGGAAGGCCAGCCAGCAGTCCCCCCGCGCGGCTCTGCTGAAGCAGCTGGCTGACATCAGACCCTACCGGCCCGGGGACCTCGGCCTGGTGCCCCGGAGCACAGGCATCCCGCCCAACCCCAAGGACCTGCAGCTGCTCTCTCACACCAGCCGCATGGGGAAGGTGGGCTACTTGCACATGCAGAACAACACCGAGGTGAGGGGCTGGGGGCGGGGGGGCAGGGTGGCGCATCCGGGCTCTGGCAGGCAACTGTGTGTCCGTGGGGCCAAGGCTGGACCCCCACCGCTGCGCAACGCACAGGCAGGGGAAGGATGCCCCGGACTCGGCTTCCATGCATGCATCTTTAATCTTGTAGATGAAGTTTGGAATGCAGAAGAAAAGGCTGAGAAAGTGTGGCCATCCTCAAGGTTCTCTCCTTCTCAAGTAAAACAGAGATGTCAGCCCCCTAGCCCCGAGACGGGCTGTCCCGGCCACAGATCCTGCCCCCTGCCCCCCACCCTCCAGGGCTACCTGGGGCAGCGCAGAGACACGTTCTATTAAATAATAATAATAAATAAATAAATAAACGGAAAGCGGGGGTCAGCGCGGCACTTCCTGGACTGGGGGGTTGGGGGTGCGTGGGCAGTGTGGGACGGTGTATCTGCTTGCAGCTGTGGGCTCAGGGGTTTAGCGGAACCGCCTGGCCGCGTTCCTGGAGGTGGTCCAGGAGCAGGTCAGCAGCACGGTCCAGCAGCTGGGGCAGCTGCTCCTGCTCCTCCGGCGAGAAGGGGCTCATCAGGTAGGTCTGCACGTCCTCTGGCGGCTGGGCGCCCCCGATGCCCACCCGCAACCGTGGCATGAGCTGTGGGGGGGGAGCGCAGGTGAGGGGGGTGCCCCTGCAGACCCACCCCCTCCTCGAAGGGCTGCAGGGACCCCATCCATGCTAAGGAGGCGATGGGGGTCACTCACGCTGGAGTTGAGGCAGCTGATACAGGACCGGACTCCCTCGTGGCCCCTTGGAAGAAGGACAGGCAACGGGTGGTTAGGACGTGGGGGGCGGGGGTTCACGCCCCCTGCCCCGGCCCCACCCGACAACTCACTTGGGGCTGCCGGCCAGCTTCAGCGCCAGTTTCCCCAGGGGCTTGTCCAGCTGGTCGTGCAGCAGGTAGACCTCATCGGGGGCCAGCCCCAACATCGCCGCTGGGTGCCACGAGAAGGGGGGGGACCCGGTCAGCTCGGCGCGCGCCCACGGTGGCCGGTCCCCAGATCCACGGGGAGGCGCCCAAAGCAGCCCCAGCCCCAACAGCCCGAGGGCGCGGCGGCGGCGGCTCCCGCGAGTCCCGGCCCCGCCGGCCGCGCGCGCCACTCACCGGCCCGGGACACGCAGCGCCCGTTGGCGTGCAGGGGTCGCCGCGGTCGGAGCAGGACCACCTCGGCGTCGGCCAGCGAGGCCCGGGCCAGGTCGGCCGAGCAGCGCGCGTCGCGCGTCCAGCTCTCGGCCACCCCCAGGCGCTGCGCCAGGCGCGCGAGCAGCGCCATGCCCACGCTGTGCCGCGTGTCGGCCACTCCGGGGTCGCCCAGGCCGACCACCTGCGGGGGGGCACCGGGGACACAGGCGCGCCAGCTCTCGCCGCCCCCTCCGCCCCCGCTCCGCGCGCCCCCGGGGCCCGTGGGGGAGGGGAAGGAGGCGAGGGGGCGGGGCGCGCGGGGGGCGGGGGCGCGCGCAGCCGCGGGCACCTGTGGCAGGAGCCCCGGGAGTCTGGGACGCTGCCGGCACCGCGGACCCCGTCTCGGGATCGGCGACGGGAGACAGTGGGCGGGGCGGGCCGACCGCGCGCGGACCCCACGTCGCCCCCCGCGCCCCCGCTCTTGAGACTCACCAGCCACCGCTTCCCGGAGGTCCGGGGCTGCAAAATGTACTCGTGCATGGGCCGACTGGGCCAAATCATCGGCTGGAACACGCCCGGCGGCGGCATGGCACGTCCACTCAACGCCTCCGACCTCCCCCTGCACCGGACCGTCTGCAGCCGGGGTCGCCGACCCTCCCCCCTGGCGGACCCGGCCTCCGACCAATCACAGTCGCCTCCTGCCCTGGGCGGCCGCCGGCAGCCAATCCGGAGAGCCCGAGCCTGAAAGGCGGAAGGGGCGGGGCGAGGCCCGGAAGCGCCCGCCCCCGCACTCGCCGCGCCGCGGCAGCCCCCGGGTTCGGGGCCCTCCCCTCCCCCTCCCTGTGGGGCTCGCAGGGACCCGCGCCGGCCGTCGGGTTTGCGGAGAGGGAGCCCTGTTGTGACCCTCGCCGGGGCGCGCCGTCTCGCTGGGACCCCCCCCAGCCAGTTCCCTTCCTCGCGCCAACCCCCTCGGCCGCCCTCGCGCGGGTCCAATTTTGCGAGTCTCCGATTGGTCGGATTCCAGGGGGCGTGGCCGGGGCGTGGCCCGCGGGCGTCCTGGAGATGGTGCCTAGCAACGTCAGGAGTGGACGAGACCCGGGTGGGGGGCCTCGAGGCAGCCGGCGCAGGCCCTGAGGGCCTCGTGGAAGGGGGACTCATGACAGACAACCGAGAGGTGCAGAAGGACGAAGCAGAGGCGCGGGGACGGGGAGGGCGCCGCGGAGGCGAGGGGCGGGTCGCCGGCCAGGTTTCCAGCGCGGGAGCGGCGGGGACCGGCGTGCAGCCCCGGGAGGGGGCCTGAGCTCCGGGTGCACCGGAGGAAGGAGCCGAAGAAGCTCAAGAAGCTCGGAGCTGGAGGGAAACGGGCTGTGCAGAGGCCGGGTCTCGGGGCTCCTGGACAGTCGGAGGAGGGGAGGCCGGCCTCTGGCTGGAGGCCCAGTTTGAGCCCCCGCTGCGGGCAGGAGGAGGTCACCAGGACGCCAGGGCTGTGGGTAGGGAGGTCGAGGACCCGGGACCGACGAAAGACCAGGGGAGCGGGTGTGCGGGGGGGGGGGGGGGGGGGGGGGGCGGGCGTCATCTGAGACCTGCCTCCCCTCCTTTCCAGGATGGTGTGGGGGCTGACCAGACTTCCTCGGTGTACATCCCAAAGCCATGGGTGGTACCCGCCCCGAAGACCGACATCCAGCGCATCTTTGGCACCAGCCAGGTGTTCACGAACTCCGAGGAAATAAAACCAAAGGAATCGGAGTTCACGGTGCCCCACAAAGTCAGGGAGTAGTGAGTGTCTCTCTCCACAAGGTCCCAGGTCCCGAGCGACCCAGCACAAGCCGTGGTCATGCTTCCGTCCCTGTTCGTCTGCCTCCCTGGGCTTAGGTCCGATCCAGTCAGGTTCGGCTGTATAATAATGGCTCACCCATGTTCGCAGAGGCAAAGCCGCTGACGGGGATGCACCCCAAGAACGCCAGCTTGCCCTTTCTGACTCTCCATCCAGATCCCTCTCTTAGACACACACCCCACCCAGGGCTGATTCAAAGTAAAGGCCACGAGGCCAGGGGCCATATAGTACAGTGGGTAGTGCCCTGGCCTTGCCTACGACTGACCCAGGTTCTATCTCTGATGTCCCATAACGTTCCCTGGGCCCTATCAGGAGTGATCCCAGAGCACAGATCCCAGGAGTAAGCCTTGAGTACCACCGGGTATAGCCCCCAAAAAACAAATTAAAAAAAAATAAAACAAAGTCAGGGCCAGCCTCTGTCCCCTCCGCCTGCAGCTATGTCCGAGGTAAGCAATGCCTGGAGAAAAAGGACTGGGAGATGGCCGTGCTGTTCTTCTCGCGCGCCCTTCACCTGGACTCAGAGCTGGTGAGAGGAAGAGAAGCCGGGGTGGGCGTGGGTTGGTACCCGCTTCTCCCTCCCTGCCACGCCTGCCAGCCCTCCTCTGTGGGTGGGCGGAGGGAACCACAGCTGGGTGCCCCCTGCCCTCAGGTGGACTTTTACATCCTTCGAGCCGAAGCATACATCCAGCTCTGCGACTTCTCCTCGGCTGCCCAGAACCTGCGAAAGGCCTACTATTACCAGCCGGACAACGTCGACTTCCTGAAGCGGCTCAGCCTGGTGCTTTACCTGAAGGTGCCGATGCTCCAGGCCCACAGAGCGCCCCCCCCCCCCCACACACACACATGTGCACACAAGCCTCCTGGTTCTATAGCCAGAAGGGCCTTCCTTGCTCCTGGCACCTGCTTCTGTCTTCGGAGGACCTCTTTGTCCTCCTGTCTTCTCAACTCATCCCCTCCCAAGCTGTCTTCCAGCCAGGGCTGCTAAAGTGCCTGGCAACACTGTCCCGTCCACCCTTCTGCAATGATAATTGTCTCGTCGGCACCGTCCAGGTTGCTGTTGCTTTTGCTCCTTGGGCCACACCCAGCAGTGCTCAGGGCTTACTCCTGGCTCTGCACTGAGGGATCACTCCTGGCAGTGCTCAGGGGACCATACGGGATGCCCCAGATCAAACCCAGGTTGGCAGCGTGCAAGGCAAGAGTCCGAGCACTGTACTTCCGCCCCCGTGAACTATCCAGTTTGCACATTGAGCGCCACGAGCCGCAGAAAGGTGGCTGGTGTGACTGAAGAGGGAATTCTGTAAACTGCCTTTCATTTCTCTTTGTTTGATTTGGGGGCCACGCCCAGCGCTACTCAGGACTTACTCCTGCTTCTGTGCTCAGAAATCATTCCTGGTGGGACTCGGGAACATATGTGTGCTGGCTGGCAGTGGAACCCCAGCGGGTCATGTGCAAGGCAAACGCCTTAACCCCTGCACTGTCTCTCTGGCCCCAGATTGCATTTTACATTTGTGGAGCCATAGGGAACTGGTGACTATGCCAAATTGATCTAGAATCTGCTGGAATCTAGATTTGCTTAGGCCAGAGAGGTTGAGGTCTGGACACTTTGCTTGCAGGAAACCTGGGTTCATCCCTAGAAACACAGGGTTCCCTGGGGACCTCTGGGAGCAATCCCTGAGCACAGAACTGGGAGTTAGCCCTGAGTGCTTTCAGGCATGACCCAAAATTAAACCCCCAAAAGCACAAAAGAAATGATAGTCCCATTTGGGTTTTTTTGGGGCAGGGAGGGGAGTTATGGAGGAAAGGCACATTTGAGAGTGCTTTGGGATTACTCCTGGCTCTGTGTTCAGGGATCACTCCTGGGGTTCAAAGGACCATATGGGAAGCCAGGAATCGAACCTGGGTCAGACACATACAAGGCAAACACCCTTCCCACTGTACTATCTTTCTGGCCTAGCCCTGGCCCCCATTTGTGATCCAAAATAAGATACCCACAAAGTCCAGATATGTTCCATTTTGACAACTTAAATACCTTTTTTTTTTTAATTTTTATTAGTAAAACACCATGAGGTACAGTTGTAGACTTACAAATTTTTGTGCTTGGGTTTCAGTTATACAATGATCGAGTACCCATCCCTCCACCAGTGCCCATTTTTCATCACTACTAATCCCAGTATCCCTCCCACCCCCCATCCCCCCATCCCACCCTGCCTCTGTGGCAGGGCATTCCCTTTTGTTCTCTCTCTCCTTTTGAGTGCTGTGGTCTGCAAAAGAGACATCGAGTGGCAATCATGTTCCGTCTATAGTCTACTGTCAGCATGCTTCTCCCATCCTGGCAGGATCCTCCCAGCAGCCTTTATTTGGTGCTCCCTTCTCTATCTGAGCTGCCTTTCCCCCTAGCATGTGCGGCTGGCCTCCAAGCCATGGAGTAAACCTCCTGGTACTTATCTTGGCTTTTCTTGGGTGTTAGTCTCCTATTTTGTTACTTTGTATTTCCCAGATGAGTTCAGTCTTTCTATGTCTGTCCCTCTCTTTCTGACCCATTTCGCTTAGCATGATACTTTCCATGTTGTACCACTTGTGTGTTAATTTCATGACTTCATCTTTTCTATCAGCTACCTAGTACTCCATTGTGTAGATGTACCAACCTTTCTTTTATTGTTGGGGCCACTCCCGGCAGTGCTCAGGGCTTATTCCTGGCTCTGCGCTCAGAAATCACTCCTGATGGGGTTCAGGGAACCATATGGGGTTCCGGGGCGGGGGGAAGGGACTGAACCCAGATCTGGCTGCATATAAGGCAATGTACTATACCCCTACCCACTGTACTCTAGCTGCAGCCCCTAGTTAGTTCTTTTAAAGACATGTTTGGGCGTACCCAAACCACCTGCTTTACCCATCACGGGGGGGGGGGGGTCTGATCCCCTTCGGGCACTGCTTCTTGGCATCTCCCGTCTTCTCTCCATCGCCAGCTGATGGCACCTGGATGCGTGTGGCCTGTGACTGACCTTACAGTGTGCCCGCATGTCCACACTGCTGGCTCCAGAGCCCCCGTCCCTCTCTCCGCCCTGCCCCCCCTCCGTGACCTCTCCCTGGGCAGTCCCCCCTCCCCCACTGCCCGTTTCCTCCTAATCGGTGTCTCATCTTTCAGTCTCGCCCAAATCCAAAGGACAGCAGTCTGTCTCTTGTCCCTTTGTCCTGCCATCTCCACACTGCCCTGCCCACGGGGCTCCGCTGAAGTGACCATCCTGTGTCCCCAGGGCCAGTGCCTGTTCGAGCTGTGCTCCTTCTCGGAAGCCCTCAAATACTTTCTGCAGGCGGCTAAGCTCCAGCCCCAGAGATCCTGCTTCCGGTACCGATGGTAGGTGCTCGGCCCCTGCCCCCCGCCCCCCTCCCCGCCCTCCCCACTCCCTCTCCCCGGCCCAGACAGAGCCCCTTTGTCCTCCCCCTCAGCATGGCCTGTTACCTGGCCCTCGGGCGGCTGGAAACCTGCCTCTCCTACATCAACAAGGAGATGAAGCAAGGCCTGGTCAGCGCTGACCTGTATGTCCTCCGGGCCAGGCTCTACAACTCCTCCAAGAAGGTAGTGAGGGGCTGGTGCGATAGCACAGTGGGGAGGGCGTTTGCCTTGCACGCGGCCGACCTGGGTTCGATTCCCAGCATCCCATATGGTCTCCGGAGCTCCGCCAGGAATAATTCCTGAGTGCAGAGCCAGGACTAACCTCTGTGCAATGCTGGGTGTGACCCCCCCCCAAAAAAAGAAGGTAGTGAGCGCCCTGAGGGCAGGGCAGGG